GTCAAATGTTGTTTTACATGTTTGTTAGAATTCTAGCCTAAGTAGGGTTCTCAGTAGGGGGTACAGAACTTTTCTCGACACTTGCCTTGTACTCCCCTCTTCTTTACTACCAACCATTCCGCTGCGTAACTTCTGAGATGGTATCATGAGGTTACCTCCTAGGCCTATTAGTCATAGTTAGTCCTCATTGTTGCCTTCCTCCTAGCCCGTACACTCACATACCCTGCCTATCGAGCCTATCAATCCCCCGCCCCTCCCCATTCTGTCGCGCTCAGGCAGGCCGCCGTGGCCCATTTTTCCCCACGCGCTTAGCCAGGCCGTCACGTTTAGGCAGGCCCGTCGCGCTTAGGCAGGCCGTCGCAGTAGTCGCAGTAGTGCGCCACTGCACGCCACGCCAATGGGCCCCGTTTAGCCGCGATTGAAAGGCCCCTGTGGGCCCCGTTGATGGTGTTTAACAGGCCTCCGCGAGCCCCGTTTGGTCACACTCACGAAGGCCCCCCGCGGGCCCGTTCTGCCACGTCCTGCCAGCCCGCGCGCACGCACAACCGCCACGCACAATTGACTGCAGGCCACGCACGCACAGGCCACGCGCGCACGCGCAGCAACAGCCGCACGCAGCAGCCGCGCACGCAGCAGTGCACGCCTGCTTTGCACTCAGCCGCCAGCAGCAGCAGCAGCGCAAGCGCCCGCAAGCGCCAGCAGCATCAGCACTGCTAGTGCCTGCAGATGCCAGCAGCAGCCACACTGCTAGCGCCTGCAGCCGCCAGCAGCAGCCACACTGCTAACGCCCGCAGCCGCCAGCGGCAGCAGCTACCTCCGCCCAGTCACGCTCACACGTTCTAGCAGCGCGCGTCCTAGCACTTGCAGCGCGCATTACGGACAGCCACACCGCCCCACCCAGCAGCGGGCTCTTCCCTCTGCACCGTTGCTGTGCTCGCGCTCTCAAACGGTTTTCCTGCCATAGGCATATTCCACGGCGGTTGGCAGTCGCTCTTCTCTCCTTTTGCTAGAGTAGTTTTTTCGATCTCCTCCTAGACTAGGTTTCCGACCGGCATTTTTCAAACCTGGTGCTCCTAGCTCCACTCACTCCAATTCCGCTAGTCTGTAGCTCGGCGCTTCTAACTCCGGCCGCTCCTAGCCTAGCCACTCCTAGCTTCTGTCGCTCCTAGCCTGGTCACTCCTAGCTCCAGCCGCTCCTCTCCTGGCCGCTCCTAGCTTCAGTTGCTCCTAGCTTGGCCGCTCCTAGCTCCAGCTGCTCCTAGCCCGGCCGCTCCGAGATGTTACTATGGAGTCCTCCCGCCGCCTACGTTTTGATGCGGAAGGCCGTCCTATCGACTTTAGTACGTGGCTCCGCCAGGCTCAGCGCCACCTTACTAGTCAGCGCCAGGACGGTGCCACCTTGTATGCCCACGCGTCTGGCGCACTCCGGGCCCCTGCACGCCCCGACCCTTTGCCTACTGAGCTTGCTCCCACTTTTGAGGAGCAGGCGGACTACGACCGGCGTTTCCTGGCGCGTGATGTCTGGGACTCTCGCGACGCTGCGGCTGCTCTCGCGCTGACGGACCTTCTCCCACCGACTGAGGCCGTTCACTTCTCCCAGGTCGAGACTGCAAAGGGTTGTTATGATGCTATCGTTGCGCGTTATTCCAACCCTTCCGCTGCCTCCCCCAGCCGCCTCCTCATGCCTTTTGTGTTTCCCGACCTTGGGTCATTTGGGAATGTTTCCGACCTTGCCACTCACCTGCGTTCCCTCGACACTAGCTACCGTGCAACTTGCAGTGAGGCTTGGCTTCTGCTTGCCCCCCCTCCTATGTGGCTCACCGTACACTGGTTAGTCACTCGCCTCCCTGACCGCCTCTCCTCCCCTCGTTCACTCGGAAATTGGTGGGTGTTCTGGCCACGTTCACTAGGGAGCCCCGCTTCGGTCTCTACGTTCTCCACACCGAGCGCTCCCCGGTTGCTTCCTCCGCTCAGGTCGTTGCGTCCCCTCTGGTCCCAGTGTCTAGTCCGGTTGCTGTGTCTGGTCAGGTAGTGGTGTCTAGTCAGGTTGCTGCGTCTTGCTCCTGCCGGTCCCTAGGCCCACCCGACCGTCTTGTGGCACCACCGCCTTGGCCACCTGTCGCTCCCTCGCCTCCGCAGAATGGCCAGTCACAGTCTTGTCCCCGGTCTCCCGCGCGTCTTTCTGTCGCTCCCTCTCTCACTTGCTCTACCTTGCACTCCTTGCGTCACCGGCCGCCTGCGCGCCACTCCGCACTCCTCCTTCCTTCGTCCGGCCACGGCTCCCTTCCAGACTCTCCACCTGGACGTCTGGGGCCCTGCCCCTACGCTAGGATCTGAGAGGAAGCGCTACTTTCTAGTGGTCGTTGACGAATACTCTAGGTACACCACGGTGTTTCCTCTCGCGAAGAAGTCCGAGGTGACTTCTACGCTGATTTGGCGGCTTCTGGCCACTGAGGGCACTCGTCGTAGTCGTGTCCGCTGTCTCCACTCCGACTATGGGGGTGAGTTTTGCTCTGGCGTCCTTGCCAGGTTCTGCGGCGAGTAGGGCATCACACAGTCCTGGATGCTGCCGGAGTCCCCACAATAGAACAGGGTTGCTGAGCGCCGTATTGGCTTGGTCATTGACATCGCCCGCACGTCCATGATCCATGCTCGTGCGCCCCATTTTCTGTGGCCCTACGCGCTGTGCTATGCCGCGCACCAGCTGAACCTCTAGCCGCGTGTCTCGCGGCCAGAGTTTTCACCGACCACTCTTTGGACTAGGTCCCCTGGTGTTGGGTCGGCTTTTCACGTCTGGGGCTGCCTTGCGCTTGTCCGCAACACCTTTGCGGACAAGCTCTCGGCTCGCGCCATCCCTTGTGTCTTCTGTGGTTTCCCGGTGGGCTCTCCCGACTACCCCTTTTACCACCCGCCCCTCCACCAGTTTCTAGACTCTCGTGACGTCCAGTTTGACGAGTCAGTGTCCTACTACACTTGGTACCTCTGTCAAGGTCTCCCGGTTCCCCCTCCCCCCCTCTTCCTTGCACCCTCATCTCCTCTTGCTCCCGCTCCTCCGGTGCCCCCGCCCCCCCCTGGTCCTGCCCCGTCAGGTGTGTCTCACACTACCCCTCTACCTTCGGTCGCGCGTCAGGTAGCGTCTCCCTCCCCACAGTCCTCCTCACAGTCCCTTCTGCAGCCTTCGTCACTCCCACGACATGTTAGTGTGGACTTCGGGGGTGTTGGAGCTGGAGGTGCTGCCACTAGAGGTGCTGCCACTGGAGGTACTCTTCCTGGGGGTGCTCTTTTGAGGGGTGGTGGAGCTGGAGGTGCTGGCACTGGAGGTGCTAGTTTGGGGGGTGCTGGAGCAGGAGGTACTGGCATTGGAGGTGCTAGTTCCAAGGAGACTGGAGCTGGAGGCACTACTCCTGCGCGTCCCCACCGCCACGACATACGTCTCCAGGTAGCTCGCCGACGTGAGCGAGAGGAGCAGGAGCTGCGACGGTTGGACCTGCAGGGGCAGCAGGAGCAGCAGCAGCAGCGTTCGTCGTAGCCGCCAATTTTGCAGCAGCTGTTCCCACCAGTGAGTGGCCTTCGGGCCCTTGGTCTTCCCTCCGCTCCTCCTGTCCCCTCACAGTCTCCTACTGCGTACGCCCCTACGTTTCCTCCTCCGGACTCGGCTCCGGCTGTTTTCTCTCCTCCTCAGTCACAGTCGCCTCCTCCTGTTCTCCCACACGACTGGACTACTCGTTGTCCAGCACGTGCTCGTCCTTCGTCGCCTTTTGACGACCTCCGCAATGTCTTGTTTCATTCTAGTCCTCGTCGTGCTCCGCCTGTGTCTGTTCTCCCGCCACCTCCTGCGTTGCCTCCCACTGTTTCCTCTCACCCTATCACTGACTACTATCGTATTGCTCGTCCTGTTGTCTCTCGTGTTCTCGCCTCTCTTGTCACCGAACCCCGTGCCTCTCCGTTGTCTGTCTCGGCTTTTATTGCCGCTATCGCTGACTTTGCTTCCACCCGCCGCCTTGACTTTGCCACGCGTGTAGTGGCTGCCCCGCCTGCCCGTCCTCTGTCCGCCGGGGGTGAGTTTGCCCTTAGCTGTGACGTCCTAGAGGACAGGCAGTTTGAGCTGGAGTTCCTAGTAGCCGCTTCTCCCTTTTTCTGTGCTATGCTGCTTTCCCTTGAGGGAGACCGCGGCGCCCTTGACATTCCGACTCTTCGCACATACCGTGAGGCAGTGTCAGGGCAGTGGACCCCTCAGTGGAAAGCGGCCATGGACTCAGAGATGGCGTCTTAGAGATCCACAAGCACCTACGTCGACGCAGTTCCCCCTCCCAGGGCGAACGTAGTTGACGGCATGTGGATCTCAAGGTGAAGCGGCCGCCTGAATCACCGCCTGTCTTCAAGGCGCGCTACGTGGCTAGGGACTTCAGTCGGCGTGAGGGAGTTGACTTCTTTCAGACTTTCGCCCCGACCCTGAAGATGACTACTCTTTGGGTGTTACTTCACGTAGCAGCACAGCGAGACTACGAGCTGCACTCCCTTGACTTCTCCACCGCGTTTCTCCAGGGCCGCATACACAAGGAGATCTGGCTGCGGCGTCCTCCTGGCTTTACTAGCACTTTCCCTCCGGGGACCAAGTGCAGCCTGAGACGACCAGTCTACGATCTCCGCCAGGCGCCGCGCGAGTGGTACGACACGCTACGCACCACGCTTGCTGACTTCGGTTTCAGCCCTTCGTCCGCCGACCCGTTGCTGTTTGTTCGCAGAGGCTCCACTCACCGTCATCGCCCGGATATAAGACAGTGTTGAATAGTAGACAGGGGTTGTCTACTATACGGGTGTCTCTTATAAACAAGCTAGCCTTTTTATATGACACCTATTTGTGTGTACGAGTTAAGACATATATGTCTTATAATCAGAACCAGGGTTTAGGGGTTTTCTTATAAACAGGGGGTGTCTTCTTAGCTAGCTTTCCTACTTTAGGGGGGTACATGCATACAATCATGAATCTCTACTTCTACCTAACCCCCCTCAGTCACCGCCTCCTCACCTGCACTAACATCAGGCTCTACACCCAGGTCTGGCACTCGCCAGGCATGCCTAGCCGTCTCCCTAGGCTCGATCATGCGGTCAGCCTCGGCCGCCGCTCCACGGTAGTTGGGGGTCTCCTGGTACAGCACCTCCAGGCCGGTTGCCACGGCCACCTCCCGCACGCCCTCCGCCTGCATCGCCTCCTCCTCCTCCTCTGGAGCCCAACCGAGCAGGCGCGTGTTGTCGCCTGTGGTCCCCCCGAGAGACATGTCCGCGGAGACATCGGTGGTGCTCCTGGCGCGCAGGTGAGACATCACCAGGTGGTTCTCTGTTCCGTCCAGCTTGCTCGAGATCCCACAGTGGCGGAACGCGTCGATGATGATCTGCTTGGGGACTTGATCCCAAGCCTCCGCGATCCACTGCAGCACCACGGGGTGCGGAGGCCTCCGCAGGTTCCCTGCGGGTGGGACAGAGGACGGGGCAGCGAGATGTAAGAGACACGGATATGAAGGAGCATGTTTAAGACAAGGACACAAAACAGAACATGAATAAAACCGTAAATGAAGGACCAACTCACCCTTCTTCGTCTTTAGGTGAATCCTTTCACGCATGAACCACCTGGCGTAGCACGCTCGCACAGCAGCCTTGAAGCACCGGTTGATGGAGACGTCCAGGGGTTGAATCTGGCTCGTACAACCCGCTGGGATGACTGCACGGGTGATGCTGTGCGTGCGGTACGACTGAAGCATGGTCTGGGTGATGTGACCGCGGTAGGAGTCCAACACCAGCATCGCCCGCCTTGCGTTCTGGCCGCGCTGGGGGTTCAGATGGGGCAGCACCTCCTTGGACAGCCAGGTCTGCACAACGGTCTCGTCCATCCACCCGTTGTCCTGTGCTTGGACCACGATTCCTGCCAGGCACATAAGGGACAGACGGGCATCAGTACAGTGGGGCACGCTCATCAGGCAGTCGCACGGTTGAATTCACGCTCGCTTACCTTCCGGAATCTCACAGTTGGGGACGTTCTTCATCTTGAACCACACCCACGACCGCAGCTTCTCCCCGCATGCAGTGCACGCGAGCATCACCGTCAAGCGCGTCTTCTGGTAGCCTGCAGTGCGGATTGGAACCGAGCGCGCGCCACGGTGCTCGATCGTCCGTTCGGCTGGCATCTCCACGAATAGTGGAGTCTGGTCCGCGTTGATGATGCGGGCCAGGTCGATTTTGTGCCGCGCCCTGTTGATGCGCACAAACTTCCAGAAGGACTCGCAGTCCTTTGCGCACTCTGCAAACGGGACAAGCGCAACAGAAGCACGGGATGGTTAGACACTGGGTGAGGTACATGCATTCAATAGAGCGCCAGACGAAATCCTTCAACACGCACCTGCCGACAGACGTTGGCCGACCTTGGTCTTCACCCGCATCACCAGGTTCTAGCGGTCACGGAAACGCTGGCTCCAGTGAGAGCTCGCGTTCCAGTTCTTGCCGGGGTAATGCTTCTTCATCCACTCGCGGCTCCACTTCTGGGTGTCCTTCACCGAGATGGCCACCCCGTTAGCGCGTTGAAGGCAGATGTAGCGGTACAACGCTGCCTCCATGTCGGGGTAGTGTGAGTGGCGCCCCCCCCCCGTGCATCCGCTTGCGGCAGTTGGCCGCGCCCTTGTAGACGCCCGCTTCCGCCTCCGCACACCAGCGTCTGATGCAGGCGATGGACGCGGTTGACTCCACACTCGTCTTCTTCAAGGAGCCGAGCTCCTGATAGCGGCGCGCCCACTTAAGCTTCTCACGCACGGTCCAACTGCGGCGCTTCTTCGTAGTGTCTTTGCTGCGAGGGGAAGGTGGGCGGGTGTTGGGATTATGGAGGGTGGGGTCCCTCGGCGTTACCTTCTCAGGGAACGTGGGAATCGGGCCCGCCGCCGCCGCGTACTCATCGCCGCTGCCCAGCGGCTCGTTCACGACGATGTCGTCAGGATTCGGTGCCTTCTTCGCCTTCTTCTTAGCCGCACCCTTGCTGGATCCCGGGTCTCCGTCGGATGTCAGCTTCTTGTTGCTTGTGCGGCGACGAGCAGGGGCTTTAGCAGGGGCCTTAGAAGGGGCTTCCGCAACCTTGGCTTTCCCCTTCTCCGCAGCGGTGAGTATCGGGCGACGCTCCTCCCCCGGACCGTCGTCGTCAGAGAGCACCACGCGGGCCCGCTTTGACTTGGACTTTAGGCGATGGCGCAGCCTCCGCTTCAGTAGCGGGACGTCGTCGTCGGTCCCAAAGCTCCATGGGTCGTCGTGTCAGATTTATATGACATAGTTGCTGTAGGCTATAGTGGGGTAGCACATATGGGGTACGGGGTTTCTAGGGTTGTATTTTGTACCCAATCTTTCCTTAGTCATCTCATTCCTGTTCTTCAGTTTCACATGGTATAGAGCAGGTTCCCTGTGGGAACTTCGCCTAGGGCCCACCGAAGCGCGCCCCGAGGCGCGCGATTCCTTTTTTTTGCGACCCTCCGAGTCGCCCTGTCCCCTTGCGGCCCCGCCGCCCTTCAGACGCGGCCCCGCCACCCCCTCGCGCGGCCCCGCCACTCAGTCGCGGCCCCGCCACCCAGTCGCGGCCCCACCGCCCAGTCGCGGCCCCGCCGCCCGTTCTGATCGCGGCCCCACCGCCCAGTCGCGGCCCCGCCACTTCGTCGCGGCCCCGCCGCCCAGTCGCGGCCCCGCCACTTCGACGCGGCCCCGCCATCCCTTCGCGGCCCCGCCGCCTTTCTGCGGCCCGACCACCGCCCTACCAGCGGCCGTCCCGCCGCCCTACCTGCGGCCCTACGCCGCCTCATCCGCGGCCCTTCGCCGCCCTACTTGCGGCCAGCCGCCGCCCTACCTGCGGCCCACCTGCCGCCCTATTAGCGGCCCGCCCGCCGCCCTACCTTCGCGGCCCAGCCGCCCTACCTACACGGCCCCAGCAGCAGCCGAGCCGCCCGGAGCAACCGAGCCGCCCGGAGCCGCCGAGCCGCCCGGGAGCAGCCGAGCCGCCCAGGAGCCGCCGAGCCGCCCAGCCGCAGCCGAGCCGCCCAGCCGCAGCCGACCCTGCGCCTGACCCGCCCTGCACCCGAACCGCCCAGCCGTCGAGCCGCCCGGGAGCCGAGCCGCCCTGCGCCCGAGCCGCCCAGCAGCCGAGCCGCCCAGCACCCGAGCCGCCAAGTCGCTGAGCCGCCTTTCTGCATACCTACACGACATGGCTACCCCTAGTGTCCTAGCTTTTGACGCTGAGGGTCGCGCCATTGATTTTGAGGTCTGGTTAGACGACCTGCAGCTGTTCTTAAAGTGCGACAGGGCTGACGACCTTTCTCTCTTTGATCTCACCTCTGGCGCCTCTCCTGCTCCTGCTGCTGATGCTGATCCCGCTGTCCGCTCTAAGTGGGCCACCCGCGATGCTGCTGCACGTCTTGCTGTGCGTCGCCACCTCCCTACCTCTGAGCGTGCGCACTTCAGTCAGTACAAGAGTGCTCAGACCTTGTACGACGCTGTAGTTGCGCGCTACTCCTCCCCTGCCACTGCTGCACTGAGCCGTCTCATGCTTCCCTACCTCTTTCCTGACCTCTCTGCCTTTCCCACTGTCGCTGACCTCATTACGCACCTCCGCACTAGTGACACTCGCTACCGCGCCGCCCTTCCTGCTGAGTTCTGCGCTAAGAACCCCCCCCCCATGTACATCGCTCTCTACTACGTAGTCGCGCACCTCCCTGACTCCCTTCGAGTCGTCAGGGACCACTTTCTTGCAGTCTGTCCCACCACCCTCACCGTCGACCTCCTCGAGAAGGCCCTCCTCGCAGCGGAGAAGAGCATAGTCGCTGTAGGTGCTTCTCGTGGTGACCCTCGCACCCCCATCTTTGAGGGGTGCTCTCCTTCCCCCTTGCTGCCCTCTGTTGCCTCTGCTGCTGCTGCCGACCTGCTTGGTCTTGAGTCGGTCGGCGCGGCGTCTGCCCCTAGTGGGAGACGTCGCTCCAGCAAGGGCAAGGGGGGCAAGGGCGCGGGTGGAGCTGGAGGGGGCGGTGGCGGTGGCGGCGGTGGCGGCGGAGGGAGTGGGGGTGGCGGCGGGACTAGTGGCGGGGGTGGTGGTGGTGGTGGCAGCAGCGGCGGAGACGGTGGTGGTGGTGCCAGCGGTGGTGGTGGAGGCAGCGGCGGAGGTGGAGGCGGCGGAGGTGGAGGCGGTGGAGGCGGCAGCGGAGGAGGCAGTGGTGGTGGAGGGGGTGGAGCTGGTCGGGGTGGTACCCAGCAGCGTAGCGGCGGTGGTGGTGGCCAGCGCTCGCAGCGGCAGCAGCAGCAGCGCTCTCGGGACATCCCTTCGCCTCAGCAGCTTCGTGAGTGGTACGCTGGGCGTCAGAGGGGTGGGGGTACTGGTCCCTGCACCTACGTTCTTCGTTCCGGCGACCGCGCGGGTGAGCAGTGTGGGGGTGCCCACGCCACCCAGCGCTGCTTTGGCCGCCTGACGGACGCCTGGCGTCAGCAGTTCCCTGGGGCTAGTGAGATCCCTCGCTGGGATGAGCTTCTCAGGGCTGGTGTAGCGATCTTTGATCTTGATTTTGATGCTATCCTTACTGCTATGTATGTTGTGGATTATAGTGAGGAGAATGAGGGTTACCACTGTTTCCAGCCCGACCCGGGCATTGGTACTGCTGCGCTAGGTGCTTGTGAGGCTGCTGCTCTAGGTGCCAGTGCGTCTGCGCTCTCAGGTACTGGTGAGACTGCGCTCTCAGGTACTGAGTCGTCCTCGTCCTCCCTCACTTTCACACTTGACTCCGGAGCTTCTCGCTCCTTCTTTCGAGACCGCACTACCCTTACGCCGCTCGGCCGGCCGGTTGCAGTCTCCCTTGCTGACCCCTCTGGGGGTCCTGTCCTGTCTCACTTCTCCACTGTCCTCCCGTGTCCGGCTGCCCCTTCGGGCACCCTGTCGGGTCTGTACCTTCCCTCGTTCTCTACGAACTTGGTGAGTGGAGCGGACCTGCAGGATGGGGGTGTTCACCAGTTCACTCCTGCGAGTCAGCGGGTGACCCACTGCACGGAGGCACGCACAGGCCGACACCTGGCCACGTTCTCGCGTCGGCCGGGGTCGAGTCTCTACACCCTGACCGTTGAGTCTCCTCCTGTCCCTGCGTCTAGTCAGGTGGCTGCGTCGGGTCAGGTACTTGCTGCTGCGTCCCGGTCAGGTCCTGAGTCTGCCCCTTGTTCTTGTCGCCTCCTGTCTCACGAGACTCTCCTGTGGCACCACCGTCTTGGCCACCCCTCCTTGCCCCGTCTTCGGAGCATGGCTTCCCGTGTCCTTGTCTCCGGTCTTCCCCAGTCTCTCCCTCCTCTCCCCTCCGGGCCAGGACCTTCCTGTGTCCCCTGTGTCGAGGGTCGCCTCCGGGCTACTCCTCACTCCTCCCACTTCCCCCCGACAGAGGCTCCCCTGCAGACGCTTCACATGGATGTGTGGGGCCCTGCCCCCGTCTGTGGGCAGGGTTACGAGCGCTACTTCCTGTTGGTGGTTGACGACTACTCGCGTTACACCACAGTCCTCCCCTTGCGCAGCAAGGGTGCGGTCACTGAGGTGCTGATCGACTGGATCCGCGAGGCTCGTCTCCAGCTCAGGAAGAGCTTCGGCTCGGACTTTCCTGTTCTGCGTCTGCACTCTGACAGAGGCGGAGAGTTCTCTTCTCGCCTTCTGCGAGACTACTGTCGTGCACGGGGGATCCGCCAGACCTTCACGCTTCCGGACTCACCACAGCAAAATGGGATTGCTGAGCGCCGCATTGGCATGGTCATGGATGTCGCTCGTACGTCCATGATGCATGCGGCTGCCCCCCATTTTCTGTGGCCGTTTGCGGTGAGGTACGCGGCGCATCAGCTCAACCTTCACCCCCGGGTCTCTCGGCCTGCGATGTCCCCAGTCTTGCTGTGGACGGGGAAGGTTGGCGATGCGTCTGTGTTCCGTGTCTGGGGATCTCGGGCGTTTGTCCGCGACTTGTCTGCGGACAAGCTGTCCCCTCGTGCTGCTCCCTGTGTCTTCCTTGGCTTCCCCACTGACGCCCCAGGGTGGCAGTTTTACCACCCCTCCTCTCGTCGTGTTCTGTCCTCCCAGGACGTCACGTTCGACGAGTCAGTCCCCTTCTACCGTCTCTTCCCCTACCGCACTCCTTCCCTCCCCCCTCCCCCGGACTTCCTTGTGCCGGTTCCCCCCCCGGTAGACCCCCTCCCCCCTCAGGTTCCTGCCCCCTCAGGTGTGTCCCAGGTAGACGCCGTTGACCCGGTCGAGGTTACTGGTGACTCTGGTGCTGCTGCGGGTGCTGAGCCTGGGGGTGCTGACTCTGGGGGTACTATGCGCGGGGGTGCTGAGCCTGGGGGTACTACTGCTGGGGGTGCTAGGCCTGAGGGTGCTACTGCGGTGGGGACGGAGCCTGGGGGTGCTGAGCCGGGAGGTGCTGTGCCTGGAGGTGCTGGGTCTGGGGGTGCTGGGTCGGGAGCTGCTGAGCCTGGGGGTGCTGAGCTGGGAGCTGCTGAGCCTGGGGGTGCTGCGTCTGGAGCTGCTGAGCCTGGGGTTTCTCCTGCTGCTGCGTCTCGCCGGGAGCCCCTCTCTCCACAGGAGCTGCGCGAGTGGTTCGCTCGCCGCTGGAGGCGTGCTGCTGCGTCTGGAGGTACTGCTGGAGATGGAGCTGGAGCTTCTTCGACCGTCGAGGGTGCGGGTGCTGCCGGTCCCGGAGCTGCTGGACCTGCGGGTCCTCCTGGAGCTGGAGCTGCTGAGGGCGTTCGTGCTGAGCCTGCTGCTGTTGGTCCTGCCGCTGGAGGTGTGGGTGGCGCTGGTGCTGTCGCTGAGGGTGCTGGTGCTGTCCCTGCTGAGTCTGGAGCTGCCACGCGGCCTCGGCCGTACTTCGTTCCGCTTCTGCAGCAGGTTCTTGGTCTTTCTCCTCCACTAGAGGGTCCACCGCCTGTCCAGTCGCAGTCCCTGCTGGAGCCTTCCTCTCCTCTGCCTGCTCCCTCTCCTTACACTGGTCCTACTGGAGGTCTTGCTGAGCGTCGTGAGCCTGCGTCTCGTCCCGCGTCGCCTGTTCGTGCTGCTCGCGCTAGTGGTCGCAGTTCGCGTCAGCGTCCTCCTCCTGTCCCTGGCACGCACCGGATGTCTCTGCGTCCGTCCACTGCTCCTCTGCGTGCCCCTTTGCCTTCTCCTCCTGAGTCCTCTCTTCCTGCGCTTTCCGACCCTGAGTCGGACTCTCTTCGCGCTACGAGTCCTACTGTCACGCGTCTGCTTGCTACTGTCGTCACTGACCCCTCTTTTGAGTCCACTGCTGCGTCTGCTCTGGTCGCTGAGCTCGTTGACTTTGCTGCTCGCTGTCGTCTCGACTACGCTGCTAGTCTTGTTGCTGAGTCTGCGTCTGTCTGTCCTCCGTCCGTCGGGGGTGAGTGTGCTCTTGGCACGGACGTCCTAGAGGACAGGCAGGAGGAGTTACAGTGTCTAGCGGCTGCTTCACCTCATCTCGCGTCTGTACTGCTTGCCCCTGAGGGAGATCCGGATGCACTAGACATCCCGACTCCGCGTTCTTACGCGGAGGCCGTAGAGGGTCCCTACTCCTCTCAGTGGCAGGCAGCTATGGATGCAGAGATGGCTTCCTGGAAGTCCACAGGCACCTACGTTGACGCGGTTCCCCCTCCTGGGGCGAACATCGTCAGTGGCATGTGGATCTTCAGGGTGAAGCGGCCGCCGGGCTCTCCACCTGTCTTCAAGGCACGGTACGTTGCTCGTGGCTTCAGTCAGCGGCAGGGAGTTGACTACTTTCAGACCTTCTCTCCCACCCCGAAGATGACTACTCTTCGGGTGCTGCTGCACATAGCCGCTCAGCGCGACTACGAGCTTCACTCTCTCGACTTCAGCACTGCGTTCTTGCAGGGTAGCCTGCACGAGGAGATCTGGCTTCGCCGTCCACCTGGCTTCACTGGGACTTTCCCTCCTGGCACCCAGTGGAGCCTCCGACGGCCAGTCTACGGTCTCCGCCAGGCACCGCGTGAGTGGCACGACACACTGAGGACTACGCTTGCGGCTCTTGGGTTTGCTCCTTCTACTGCTGACCCGTCGCTGTTTCTTCGCACCGACACTTCCCTGCCGCCGTTCTACATCCTCGTGTACGTCGACGACTTGGTCTTTGCCACAGCGGACACTGCTGGACTCGCCTACGTGAAGTCCGAGCTGCTGAAGAGACACACGTGCACAGACCTGGGTGAACTGCGCAGCTACCTCGGCTTGCAGATCACCCGGGACAGAGCACGCCGCACCATTACCCTGACTCAGTCACACATGGTGCAGCAGGTCCTTCAGCGCTTCGGCTTCACGTACTCCTCGCCTCAGGCCACTCCTCTGCCTACTCGCCACTCACTCTCAGCTCTGCCTTCGGATGAGTCCGTAGAGTCGAGTGGTCCGTATGCAGAGCTTGTTGGCTGCCTCATGTACCTGATGACCTGCACACGACCTGACCTTGCATACCCTCTGAGCATTCTTGCACGCTATGTTGCTCCTGGGAGACACAGACCGGAGCACATGGCTGCAGCGAAGAGGGTATTGCGCTACCTGTGCAGTACGTCGAGCATGGGGCTAGTGCTTGGAGGGCGGAGTCCATTGGTCCTTACCGGCCACGCGGACGCTTCTTGGGCTGACGACCAGGCTACGCAGCGGTCGTCACAGGGTTACACCTTCAGCCTTGGTTCCGGCTCTGTCTCGTGGCGGTCTACTCGCTCGTCTTCGGTTCTCGGCTCCAGTTGTGAGGCTGAGATCTACGCTGGGGCCATGGCTGCACAGGAGCTTCGCTGGCTCACCTACCTGCTGACTGACCTTGGAGAGCCGCCTCGTTCTCCTCCAGTGCTGTACGTAGACAACAAGGCCATGCTGGCCTTGTGTCGAGAGCAGCGCTTGGAGCACAGAACGAAGCACATTGCTCTCCGCTACTTCCTTGCTCGTGAGCTGCAGCAGCGTGGTCAGTTGCGACTTGCGTACGTGGCCTCTGAGGCCAACACTGCTGATGTGTTCACCAAGGCACTCGCGCCTTGTGACCATCAGCGCTTTTGCACCCAGCTGGGTCTTGTGCCTGTCTTGCCTCACTTGCTCTCCTCTTGACTTCACTTGTACTGTGACATATATATATATATGCCTGCTCTTGCTTGTCTAGTTTTATATATATGTCTGTACTGCTGCATGTGAACTGGCCTCTGGCCCTACTCTTGTGCTCGGACTGTGTGGTGACTTTGTGATCCACCCTGAGCTTGCTTTGCTTTGCTTGACTGGTCTTGTGACCCCTTGTTCTCCCCCACTTTGCCTATGGGGGTGTGTCAGATTTATATGACATAGTTGCTGTAGGCTATAGTGGGGTAGCACATATGGGGTACGGGGTTTCTAGGGTTGTATTTTGTACCCAATCTTTCCTTAGTCATCTCATTCCTGTTCTTCAGTTTCACACGTCGTCGCCGCCTTCCTCGCCTTCCGCATCCGCAACTGCGGCCGCATCCGCAGGCGCAAATGTCTCAAGTTCCGCCCCCGCCTCATCGTCAGCCTCCTCATTCGCATCCACCGCCGCTTCCTGTGCATCCGCCGCTGCCTCCGCGTTGTTACCATGCGCATCTTTACCTCCGTCATTGTCGGAATCACCAGCATGCCACTCTTCCACCTCGTCGTTGCTCCCGACCGGCCGATTCCACCAGTCGTCCTCCTCGATGTCAGCAGGACCTACATCGTCGCCTGAAGCGCTGTCGTCGTGGCCGTTCTCCGGCCAATCCTCCTCGGCGTCGTCGCCGTTCGCTTCGTCTTCGTCGTCCCCGTCACAGCTCGCACCGGAGGCGGCGGTAGGACTTGCCGCCTTGCTCGCGTTCTTCGCCATGGCTACACGGATGTCATCGCCGGGCGAGTTAATTCGCCCGTAGTTATTAACCTGCACGTGAGGACGAGGTGAGGACTTGCCTACTGGTACTTTGCTGCGCATGGTTAGAGAGCCTGCCGAGAGCAAGGTTGAGACGAGTATTCAACCTCCTTGAGCACGAAATGAAGTGAGAGCCCGACTACCCACCCCAACCAGAGTGCCCCATCCACAGGTGCCGAGCCGCTCCTCTACGAGGCATCTCCTCGTAGAGGACAGCCCTCACGCTGCCAACGTGCTACCAGCAGCGTTCTGGAAGCATCCATGCGCTCCTGGCAGCAAAACGACGCTGGCAGCATCATTAGATGCTGCCAGCACAGAGGAATGTTGCCAGCGGTGGCAGCTCCCTCACGTGGAAAGTGTGGGCGCTGCATGCATCACCACCGAGGTCGGCCTGTTTAAATTAAATTGGTCTTTGGGTGGTTTCTACACACTTTGCAAGTGTTACAGTCAACTTATTTTTTTTTCCATTTATAAGACTTATAAGACACCCTAAACCATCCCGTTTACAAGATAACTCAAGCATTTTTGCCCGTGTACGAGATAAGACATATATGTCTTATATCCGGGCGATGACGGCATTTCTTTGTCCTTGTCTACGTCGATGACTTGGTCTTCACTTCAGCAGACAGAGTTGCTCTAGCTGAGGTGAAATCCGAACTGCAGAAGAGACACACGTGCACTGACGTTGGTGAGCTGCACCGCTACCTGGGCTTGCAGATCACCAGGGACAGAGTCGCTCTCATAGTCACACATGGTGCAGCGAGTCCTTCAGCGGTTCGGGCTTCAGCACTCCACCACACAGCCTACTCCTCTTGCCGTTGACCACAGACTCACCAACCCTTTTCTCGACGAGCCCTTTGAGTCTAGTGGTCCCTACGCAGAGCTTGTGGGCTGCCTCATGTACCTGATGACTTGTACTTGTCCGGACCTCGCCTTTCCCCTCAGTGTTCTCTCTTGCTTTGTTGCGACTGGGAGACACTGTCCAGTGCACTGGACGGCTACTAAGAGGGTGGCTAAGTACCTAGCGACTACGTCAGGCGTGGGGCTTGTGCTTGGAGGGACACAGCCAGTTGTTCTGACCGGTCACTACGACTCTTCGTACGCCGACGACGTGGAGACCCAGCGCTCTACTCAGGGATAATGTTTCAGTTTGGATGCTGAAGCTGTGTCGTGGAGGTCTACTAGGTCGTCGTCTGTGGCACAATCCAGCGCAGAGGCAGAGATCTACGCTGGTGCCATGGCTACGCACTTCGTTGGTTGACTTTCTTGCTCACTGACCTTTGTGAGAGGCCTCGCTCTGCACCGACCTTGTTCGCTGACAACATGGTCATGATCCTCCTCGGTCGAGAGCCTCGACTAAAGGGCAGAGTGAAGCACATCGACTTCATGTACTTTCTCCTGCGAGAGTTGCAGCGACGCGGCCAGGCTCGCTTGGATTTTGTGGCCTCGGCGACCAACACAGCAGACATTTTCACCAAGGCCCTAGCGCCTAGTGACCACCACAGGTTCTGTCTTCAGTTAGGCCTTGTTGACGCTGGTGCTCGGTTGCTGTAGCCTTGTTCTTGTTGCTTGCTCTGGTTGTCCTTGCATATTTATATTAGTGAACTCTTGAACTGGCCTTGTGGCTACTGTCTTGTACTCAGATTGTGTGGTGACTTCGTGATCCACCCTGAGCTTTGTGTCGTTGTTTCGCTTGACTGGTCTTGTGACCATTTGTGTCTCTTGCTTGCTTTGATGCCCCTCACTTAGGCTATGGGGGTGTGTCAAATGTCGTTTTACATGTTTGTTAGAATTGTAGCCTAAGTAGGGTTCACAGTAGGGGGTACAGAACCTTTCTCGACACTTGCCTTGTACTCCCTTCTCCCTTACTACCAACCATTCCGCTACGTAACTTCTGAGAATTACCTACCGTACAGAACATCCTAAGGGTTACTTCTACAGCCTCAATATCGAGTGCATCCACCAATTCATGTCATGGCTCATGCCACTCGAACAGTGTCATCAATGAACACCACCTTGCCTTCCCCATGCAGCCGCCCTAGAGCCTCACGGACCTGGCTTGGCAGGAGAAGGCACGCAAGACAAGGAGGCGCAAAAAGGAGGTGTGTAAAATCAACAACACGCAAGGGCCGTACCACACGAGTGCATCACAGATGTTGATGAGCCAGATGTAGATTGCATTGCATGGGACTGACAGACATAGATATTGCAGTCATGGGATGGTAGAAGAGAGTGCGTGCAGCGCAGGGTGTTAAGACCAGGTGGCAGGGAGGCACACTAAACATGAGTGTGCAGGGCAGAGTTATTTGGAGGGTACAACTAATGCTGAGGGCAGAAACCATGCAGAGCAGACATAAATAACTCATGAGACTGACAATTGAGTGTGATTAGCAGGGAAAATGTGGCAGGTATCTAGGATTGCTCTCCTGAGGTGCCCCTTATGAGGCTTTAAGATGTGAAACTCACATCACAGTGACAGGTATGGATTGCTTTTCGAGATGCCCTTGCGGGGCTTTAAGATGGGGAGCTCACCTCGAAGAGTGTGACAGGTATGGATGATTGCTGCCTTAGGTCCTCCCACACCTGTGAATGCGGTGCAAATGGGTAGATTTCGGTGGAAATGGGAAGAACATGCGCACAGGACGACACACTTGGGTGCAAAGGGGTGCAGATGCATCCACCCGGGGGGGCAAGCAACACTATACAACACGTGCAAGAAGAGAGCTAGAAACTCCCCAGCAGACGTACCCATAGTGGCCACATACCACACCAACACGGCATGGCTACCTGAGGCTCCGGAGCGTGCCTGAGTGTGTTTTAAGTCAACTCCAAACACAGCAGGAGGACACAGATGGGTGCAAGATGGTGCGGATAGATACACAGGGGAGCAAGCGACAATATACAAAACCACATGCGAGTAGAGAGTACTGGAGTGGAGAAACTCCAGCAGACGTACCCATACCACGCTAACACACCACCACGGCTACCTGAGGCTCCTGAGAGTACCTGAGGCCCCAGCAAGTACCTGAGGGAGTACCTGAGGTTCCAGAAAGCACCTGAGGGAGTACCCGAGGCTCCTGACAATACCTGGGGCGCTCGGAAGGAGGAGCGGGAGGCAGTGGCTCTGCCGTGCAGGAGGGAGAGCAGTGAGTCCTGCCGGTGCACGCGCTTGGCCCGCGCTTGGCCCTCTCACCAGAGCGGTGCAGGTGCTCTACACACACAAACTAGGCCACCATTCAACAGCAGTACCTGAGGTTCTCGGTACTACACGGGGCGCTCGGAAGGAGGAGCAGGAAGCAGTGGCCATACCTTGAAGGAAGGAAAGGAGAGCCTCCTGCAGCTGCACCCTCTTGGCCCTCTCGCTCGTCGACACGCCTGTGGTGATAAGGTCCATGTCGATGGTGCCTGTGGTGGTGCCTGTGGTGGTGCCTGTGTGCCTAACAGAGTTGGTTGAACATACCTGGGGCGCTCGGAAGGAGGAGCGGGAGGCGGTGGCCTTGTCCTGCGGAAAAGAAAGCAGCGCCTCCTGCAGCTGCAGTCGCTAGGCCCGCTCATTGGCTGACACTCCCGTGGTGATGAGATCCACGTCGATGGTGCCTGTGGTGGTGCCTGCATGCTCTCTGCCCTCTCACAGCAGAACTACCTAAGGCTCCTGAGTGAGAGTACCTGAGGCGCTCGGAAGGAGGAGCGGGAGGCGGTGGCCTTGTCCTGCAGAAAAGAAAGCAGCGCCTCCTGCAGCTGCACCCGCTAGGCCCGCTCACTGGCACCCATGTTTCCATGCCAACACACATGTAGCCATATCCCGTACCTGAGGCGCTCGGAAGGACGACCGGGAAGCGGTAGCCCTATCCTGCAGGAAGGAGAGCAGCGCCTCCTGCAGCTGCACGCGCTTGGCCCGCTCACTGGCGGACACCCCTGTGGTGATGAGATCCATGTCGATGGTGCCTGTGGTGGGATCCGTGGCTGACTGCTGCATTGCCACGTCTAGCAGCCGCCTCGCCTCTGTCACGTCCTCGTGCGTCACCTGCGGGGGATGAAGGGAGTAAGGGAGTGAGGGGACGGGAGGGAGGTTCGCAGTGATGCCGCCTGTGGTGGGATCCGTGGCTGACTGCTGCATTGCCACGTCTAGCAGCCTGCGTGCCTCCCCCACATCCTCGTGCGTCACCTGGCCAAGGGGCGTGCATATGGGTGAAAGCAGGTGAGTGAGGGAGGGGGTGGGCGATGGAGCGAGTGAGGGAGTGAGTGAGGGAGTGAGTGAGGGAGAAGCGAGTTTCAATGGGTGGACTGTGCCAGTGGTGATGAGGTCCATAGTCCCCCCATCCCCTCCCCTCGTCCTCCCTCCCCTCCCCACCCTTCCTCCGCTCCCCTCTTTCCCTTCCTCCCCCAAACCCCCCTCCTCCCCCCTCCTCCTCAACCCACCGTGGACGCCAGCTTCAAGCGGGCCAGTGCTTCGCTGATGCGGATCAGACTCTCCAGCTGACGTGGCGTTGCAGTGATGACCTGGGGTGGGTGACGTGGCAGGGAGAATGGTGCGGAGAGGCATGTCAGGTAGACGCTTGTCTGCATGCATGACCCAATCCATCCATGCGTGTGCATGAGTGAGTGCATGCAAGTGAGCATACACGAGCATCGTCAATACCACCACTCCGCCATGCACCCCCGCCCCCGCAGCTCCACATATGCATTCCCCACCTCCTCTGCTGCTCGACTCTTTGCTACCAGAGCTTCCCCTTCTCCTTCCCCCTTCTCACCTTTCTCCCCGACCCCCGCCCCCGCAGCTCCACAGACGCGTTCACCACCTCCTCTGCCGCCTCGTCGCTCACCTCCCTCCGAGAACCCCCCCGCTGCTCTCCCTTTCCTTCCCACCACTCTCACCACGGTTATCCCCCTCGTAAAACATACCTTTCTCCCCGCCCCCCGCCCCCGCAGCTCCACAGACGCGTTCATCACCTCCTCTGCCGCCTCGTCGCTCACCTCCCTCTGAGAACCCCTCCACTGCCCGCCCTTTCTTTACCCCCACTCTCACCACGCGTACCCCCCCTTCTGAAACATACCTTTCGCCCCAACCCCCGCCCTCGCAGCTCCACATAAGCATTCACCAGCTCCTCTGCGGCCTCGTCACCCTTCCCCCTCTGCCTTTCCTCCCATTCCCCTTCCTCCCTCTCCTCACCTTTCGCCCCGACCCCCTCCCCCGCAGCTCCACGTAAGCATTCACCAGCTCCTCTGCCGCCTCGTCGCTCAGCTCTGGGTGGATGCGCGTGCGCGCATACGTGATGTAGGATGTCAAAGTGGCCACGTCGATGGTGGCTGCTGCAGAGGCCTGGGGTGGGGATGGAGGGAGGGAAGGGAGGTAAGGGAGGGAAGGGAGGGAAGGGAGGGAAGACAGGGGAGGGAGATGCAGAAGAGGGAAGAAAGGGGGTGGAGGCGGACGAGCGTTCACCAGCTCCTCTGGCGCCTCGTCGCTCAACTCTGGGTGGATGCGCGTGCGCGCATACGTGATGTAGGATGTCAAAGTGGCCACGTCGATGGTGGCTGAAGCAGAGGCCTGGGGATGAAGGAAAAGGGAGAGCATGGGGGGGAGCGAGATGGAGAGCAGGGAAGCAAGGGGAGCGAGATGGAGAGCGGGGAAGCAAGGGGAGCGAGATGGAGAGCGGGCAAGCAAGGGGAGCGAGATGGAGAGCGGGGAAGCAAGGGGAGCGAGATGGAGAGCGGGGAAGCAAGGGGAGCGAGATGGAGAGCGGGGAAGCAAGGGGAGCGAGATGGAGAGCGGGGAAGCAAGGGGAGCGAGATGGAGAGCGGGGAAGCAAGGGGAGCGAGATGGAGAGCGGGGAAGCAAGGGGAGCGAGATGGAGAGCGGGGAAGCAAGGGGAGCGAGATGGAGAGCGGGGAAGCAAGGGGAGCGAGATGGAGAACGGGGAAGCAAGGGGAGCGAGATGGAGAGCGGGGAAGCAAGGGGAGCGTTCACGAGCTCCTCTGCCGCCTCGTCGCTCAGCTCTGGGTGGATTCGTGTGCGTGCGTACGTGATGCAGGCGGTGAGTGTTGCCACGTCTATGGTGGCGGCTGTGGAGGCCTGGAAAAGAAGGGAGGAAAGGGAGGGAGGGGAGAAAGAGACAGAGATAGATGGCCTGAAAGGGAGAGAGCGGGAGGAATAACAGGTGAGGGATTTACTTGGGCGTTGTGTAGCGAAGACGGGCGTTCACTAGCTCCTCTGCTTCTCAGGATACCGCTTTAAAGTGCACAGCACCGCACACAGCACCTCTGAGTTCTTACTCCACCGCACACAATATCATGGCACCGCACACAATATCATGTCACCGCACACAATATCATGGCACCACACACAATATCATGGCACCGCACACAATATCATGGAACCGCACACACAATCTCAGCGCCACACACAGTACCTCTGCACTGCACACAGTACCTCTGGGTTCTTGTAGTGCAGAGCGACGAGATGGCCGATGATTGAATAGAAGTCCACCGCGCACGGTACCTCTACACCGCACACAACACATCCGCACCGCATGCAGTACCTCTGCAACGCACACAGCACCTCTGCACCGCACAGCACGCAGTACCTCTGGGTTCTTGTAGTGCAGAGCAACGAGATGGCGGGCTAACCGACGGTCGGATTGCTCCTCTGCCTTGTCGAGAACGAGATAGATGAGGTCGAACCTGGTGGCGCAGCACAGAAAGAACATAGTGAAAGAAAGAAAGCAATTGCTCCTCCCCGGCCTTGTCGAGAGCGAGACAGATGAGATCGAATCTCGGCAGCTGGATGTTTTTTATAAAGGATAGGCTAAGGATAGCTGGATGTTGTCGGGTTGTAGCGAGAGCCAGAGTCAAGAAAGTCAAACTAATTCAGACCCATACCTGGAGAGCAGGGTGGGCGGCAGCTGGATGTTGTCGATGACAGAGAGGCGCGGGTTGTAGCGCGAGCCAGAGGGGTTGGCGCAGGCGAGCACGGAGGTGCGCGCGTTGAGCGTAGCGATGATGCCCGCCTTGGCCACTGACACCGTCTGCTGCTCCATCACCTGATGGGTGAAGAGGGGGCACAACACACACACACACACACACACACACACACACACACACACACACACACACACACACACACACACACACACACACACACACACACACACACACACACACACACACACACACACACACACACACACACACACACACACACACACACACACACACACACACACACACACACACACACACACACACACACACACACACACACACACACACACACACACACACACACACACACACACACACACACACACACACACACACACACACACACACACACACACACACACACACACACACACACACACACACACACACACACACACACACAAAAAGCGGGGTTGGCGCAGGCGAGCACGGAACGTGCGCGCGTTGAGCGTGGCGATGATGCCTGCCATGGCCACTGACACAGTCTGCTGCATGACCTGGTGGGGGGAGAGGTGCGTCAGGCACACATGGAGGAAAACGGGATTGGGCATGGTTGTGGAAGGTACGGTTAACACTGCGTGATTGGACGTGTGGTGATAATGCCGGCATCGGCCACTGGCTCGGTCTGCTTCTCCATGACCTGGTGGGGGACAAGGCGGCGACTTTTGAGGCGCCTCGAAATTCAACTCCATGACCTGGTGGGGGACAAGGCGGCGACGGTCTGCACACACAGTGTCGTTGACTTGACTTCACACAGGCAGCATGGTGGAATCACACGGACGTGGATAAGGCAGCATGGTGGAATCACACGGACGTGGATAAGGCCTGCCTTGGCCACATACACAGTCTGCACCTCATGCACCTCACACCCCTCCCTCCACCCTCCACCCTCCCCACCCCCCACCCCCACCCTCACCTCGTGCAGCATGCTGCACACATTATCAGACATCTTGTGTCTCTGTCTGCCTCATGTACCCACTCGCAATCACATACTCCCCCCCACCACCCCTCCCCGCCCTTCCCTTCCTCCCCTCACCTCGTGCAGCATGCTGCGGGCATTATCAGACATCTTGTCAAACTCATCGATGCAGCATTGTCCAGCATGCACCCACCCGCAATGGCAACCCCCCCCCCCCCCCCCCCCCGCTCCCCCCTCACCCCCACTCTCACCTCGTGCAGCATGCTGCGGGCATTGTCGGACATCTTGTCAAATTCATCGATGCAGCAGATGGCCCGGCCACACTCTCCCCACTTCCCCCTCTTCCACCTTCCCCTTAACCACCAACTCATACACACCGAGCCCCCACCTTCACTCCCCCCTCACCTCGTGCAGCATGCTGCGAGCATTGTCAGACATCTTGTCAAACTCATCAATGCAGCAAATGCCTCTGTCGCTCAGCACCAACGCTCCGCTCTCCAGGACCTGAGCAGGCAGGGGGAGGGAAAGAGAAAACAAATGCACACAGCACCAGATTCAACCGGCACTTCTTCCTAAACTCATCGATGCAGCAAATGCCTCTGTCGCTCAGCACCAACGCTCCGCTCTCTAGGACCTGCAGAGAGGCCAGGTATGGGAGAAGGAAGGGGGAGCACACAGCACCAGATTCACTCTTGCGCACATACTGCAGCAGCTCCGACTTACTCACCCCAGCTCCGACTTGCTCACCCCTGCTCCGACTTGCTCACCCCAGCTCCGACTTGCTCACCCCAGCTCCGACTTGCTCACCCCAGCTCCGACTTGCTCACCCCAGCTCCGACTTGCTCACCCCAGCTCCGACTTGCTCACCCCAGCTCCGACTTGCTCACCCCAGCTCCGACTTGCTCACCCCAGCTCCGACTTGCTCACCCCAGCTCCGACTTGCTCACCCCAGCTCCGACTTGCTCACCCCAGCTCCGACTTGCTCACCCCTGCTCCGACTTGCTCACCCCAGCTCCGACTTGCTCACCCCAGCTCCGACTTGCTCACCCCTGCTCCGACTTGCTCACCCCAGCTCCGACTTGCTCACCCCAGCTCCGACTTGCTCACCCCAGCTCCGACTTGCTCACCCCTGCTCCGACTTGCTCACCCCAGCTCCGACTTGCTCACCCCTGCCTCTGTGAAGGAGAACCTTCAGCAACATGTCCACGTGATAATAGTGCATTTTTGAGACGTCTCAAAAACACAATTTTATCACAGGACCATAAACAACCTGTCCACCCTCAGCTCCCCATTTCACGTGTTTCAGGGTCCTTGGTCACATACGCAGTGAGCCCCACGGCACTGCTTCCTCTCCCACTCGTGTAGATCCCTCGGGGGGCGATCTTGTGCACATACTGCAGCAGCTGCGACTTGCTCGCTCGTGCCTCTCATCTCAACGCACGACACCACCAACCGCCCAGCCTCAGCTCACCATTTCACGTGTTTCAGCCTCAGCTCACCATTTCACGTGTTTCAGCCTCAGCTCACCATTTCACGTGTTTCAGCCTCAGCTCACCATTTCACGTGTTTCAGGGTCCTTTGTGACGTATGCAGTGAGTCCCACAGCACTGCTGCCTCGCCTGCTTGTGTAGATGCCCCTCGGAGCGATCTTGTACACATACTGCAGCAGCTGCGACTTGCTCGTCCCCCTACAGCCACCCAACAGCACCAGCAATCACCCAGCATCAGCTCACCATTTCGCGTGTCTCAGGGTCCTTGGTCACATAGGCTGTCAGGCCCACAGCACTGCTCCCCCTGCCGCTCGTGTAAATCCCCCTGGGAGCGATCTTGTGCACATACTGCAGCAGCTGCGACTTGCTCGTGCCCGGGTCCCCCACCAGCAGCACGTTCATGTCTCCTCGGAACTGCACTCCTGACGATAGGCGCTTTACCGACCCCCCAAAGAGCTGAAAAAGGGATGGAAAGGCGAAGGGAGGTGTGAAGTCAGGTCAAGTCAAGCCGGGTATGCTCGTGCCCGGGTCCCCCACCAACAGCACGTTCATGTCTCCTCGGAACTGCACTCCGGATGACAGGCGTTTTACCAACCCGCCAAAGAGCTGCAAGGAGGATGAAAAGGCAAAGGGAGAGGTGGATTCTTAGGTTAATCAAAGGTGGGCACGGGGAAAGGGGGTTTAAGAGCTGGGTAGAGCATCCCAAGCCAAGTTGGGTCCCCCGCCAGCAGCACGTTCATGTTGCCCCAGAACTGCATAGAGACTAAGATCTTCATCACTCACTCCTCCTTCGTCTCCACTTGAAAAAAAACACTCCTTTCCCCGCCACCTGCCACACCAGCATTTCCGCACCCCACCTGGCACAGCAGCCCCTTGTTGATGTCATCCAGCTCATAAATGGACGGCGCCAGAGAACATGTGTGATGTGCTTGTTGCGTAGAAACTATCAAGTGCAAGACACTCCCCCTCCCCCACCTGGCACAGCAGCCCTTTCTTGATATCATCCAGCTCGCAGATGGACGGCGCCAGAGAACACGTGTGATGTGCTTGTAGCATAGCGATTAAGACGCCAGCCACCCTCCCTTTGACCCACCTGGCACAGCAGCCCCTTCTTGATGTCATCCAGCTCATAGATGGACGGCGCCAGGGAGCACATGTGATGTGCTTTTGAGCAATATGCCTCCCTTGCTAGTCACTACCCCCCACCATCATAGCACAGCAGTCCCTCCCTTCGACCCACCTGGCACAGCAGTCCCTTCTTGATGTCGTCCAGCTCATAGATGGACGGCGCCAGGGAGCGAGCCAACCGCTCGTATATGTCCGGCTGCCGGGATAGTTCCCGAAATGCCTCCACCTGGTGGGGTGTAGAGAGACACAGATAGGCGGATAGTTTTCGAATCAAAACACCAGCTTCCAAAAGCTCAGGGAAGGAAGTACCTAGGGGTTTTTCAATCATTATTTGTGCGGGTGGAAAAAACGACCTTGAAGGGGAGGGTGTGTGGGACTTCAAAGGAGAGCCATATCATGCCTCTACAAGCATAGGGGGGTTGCACAGATGGCTGATGTGCACAGATGGCTGATGGGGGAAAACCCATCCGTACCTGTTGCGGTGAGAAGTAGGCAGCGTCAGGGTTTGCATCATCCGCATCACCCTCAACAGATGTTGTCAGCGGCTGTTGTGACTGTGACTGCTGTGCTGCCCCCTTGTTACGTGTGCGGCCCCCCTCCTCCTTGCGAATGTGAATGCAATCCAGATAGGTCTGCAGGCGTGGGATGCGGGAAGGGAGAAGGGGGAGGGGGAGGGAAGGTGAGCTTGTTCCTATGCCTGCAACGCTGTCCCCTTGTTGCACGTGAAGCCCCCCATCCTCCTTGAGGCGCCTCAAAAGCCCTTGTTGCACGTGAAGCCCTTGAGGAGCAAGAGCAGCAGCAGCAGCAGCAGCAGCAGCAGCAGCAGCAGCAGCAGCAGCAGCAGCAGCAGCAGCAGCAGCAGCAGCAGCAGCAACAGCAGCCAAACACCCAGCAATTCAACCCACCTACACACCCACCCGGTAGAGCGAGCGCAGGTTGCGCTGGTTGGAGTTTACCCGCACGGGCACGGCTCGGAACACGCCTGTCACCTGCATGCACACAGCATTGTGATCCGGTGTCAATGCACACAAGCAAGGGGATAGCCGGTGAGCCAGTGAGCCGGTCAGGCAAATTTGTTTAGATGCAAAATGACTTTTGAGTCGACTCAAAAGTCAGCTGTCTTTTGAGTTGACTCAAAAGTCAACTCGCAAATCTGTTTCGATGCAAAATCTGTTTCGATGCAAAATCTCCACAACTCGCCAGTGCTTGCAAAAGCAAACGCCAGACACACTACGGTTTGGGGCGGGAGGGAGGGAGGGAGTGAGGGAGGGAGGGAGGGAGGGAGGGAGGGAGGGAGGGAGGGAGGGAGGGAGGGAGGGAGGGAGGGAGGGAGGGAGGGAGGGAGGGAGGGAGGGAGGGAGGGAGGGAGGGAAGGAGGGAGGGAGGGAGGGAGGGAGGGAGGGAGGGAGGGAGGGAGGGAGGGAGGGAGGGAGGGAGGGAGGGAGGGAGGGAGGGAGGGAGGGAGGGAGGGAGGGAGGGAGGGAGGGAGGGTGGGAGGGAGGGAGGGAGGGAGGGAGGGAGGGAGGGAGGGAGGGAGGGAGGGAGAAGTCAAACTCTCTGGTGAATTCAAGAAAGGCCACAAGAACCACACTACTCGCTCACTGCCTGCAGGCGCAGGCACGCCACTGGTACTACTCGATGTATGATGAGTCGATTTTTTAGTCGACTGAAAAATCGACTCATCACACCTGCAGGCGCAGGCACGTCACTGGTACTACTCCATGTAGAAGAGAAAGTAAGAAGCTCACCTCCACTCGGTCACCCGGTTTTGCAGTGTCAACCAGGGAGTCAAACAGAAACACGGACACGGTATGCGGGGTCTCCCCTTCCGGCATATCCTCTGGCGTCTCCTGCAGGCGAAGCATCTGCTTGTTGATAAAGCGGCTGCGGTTGTGCAGCAGAGTCATGCTGTTGAGCGCCCCACACTCGGGCCACGGGCACCGCCTCGGCTCCTCTATCACCCCTGCGAGACAAGCGGGGGGAGTAAGGAGGGCGTGCGGAGGGGAGGGGAAGGGGGGAAAGGAGAGAGAGGGCGGAAAAGAGTCGAGAATAAGGATAGGGAAACATAGCAGGGATCTCCTGCAGGCGAAGCATCTGCTTGTTGATGAATTGGCTGCGGTTGTGCAGCAGCGTCAAGCTGTTCATCGCTCCACACTTGGGCCACGGGCACCGCCGTGGTTCCTCTATTACCCCTGGGAGAAGGGAGTGGGGATGGGGGATGGGGGACATTACATGTGTCGTCTCCTGCAGGCGAAGCATCTGCTTGTTGATAAAGCGACTGCGGTTGTGCAGCAGCGTCATGCTGTTCAACGCTCCGCACTCGGGCCAGGGACAGCGCCTTGGCTCCTCTGTCACACCTGCAAGGACCCAAGGAGGGACGCAGAGGAGAGGAGAGGGGAGGGAGGGAGGGAGATGGGGGAACATGTGCCTCCTGCAGAGCAGAGGCAGGCAGCACAATCGGCTCTGCTTGTTAATGAATCGGCTTCGGTTGTGCATTTGAGTCATGCTGTTCAATGCCCCACACTTGAACCGGGGGCACTGTCTTGGCTCCTCAATTACTCCTGGGAGACTTGCACGGAATAAAAGATGATTTTTGTTTTTTTTTCAGGAGGAGGAGGGGACGGCGGGAAGACGGGAGTGTGGAAAGGGGGGAAGTACCAGTTAGGCGAGTGGCCAGCCGCACACGAGACACTTGAGGTAGGAATGTTGTCCCTGGACAAACAATCCAGCACCTCACTCACACTTCTCCAGGTTACTCTCTCAACGCACCTCGGTCCACAAGCACGAGGTCCACAAGCACGAGGTCCACAAGCACGAGGTCCACAAGCACGAGGTCCACAAGCACGAGGTCCACAAGCACGAGGTCCACAAGCACGAGGTCCACAAGCACGAGGTCCACAAGCACGAGGTCCACAAGCACGAGGTCCACAAGCACGAGGTCCACAAGCACGAGGTCCACAAGCACGAGGTCCACAAGCACGAGGTCCACAAGCACGAGGTCCACAAGCACGAGGTCCACAAGCACGAGGTCCACAAGCACGAGGTCCACAAGCACGAGGTCCACAAGCACGAGGTCCACAAGCACGAGGTCCACAAGCACGAGGTCTGGCGAGTGGCCGCACACGAAGCACTTGAAGTAAGCAGCCTTGATGTCATTCCACCCACGCACTGTTCCCCACTGCCTCACTCAACCTCTCTCCACGTTACTCTCTCATCTCACCTCTGTCCACGAGCACGAGGTCAGGCGAGTGGCCGCACACGAGGCACTTGAAGTAAGCAGCCTTGATGTCTGGGATGATGGAGGAGGTGCGGATGACCATGCCCCTCACCGCAACCAGTGCATCGATGTCTGGTGATGGGAGAAGCGTTGGAGAAAGGTGGGACGGGAGGGAGGGTAGGAGGAGGGGAGGGAGGGTTGGAGGAGGGGAGGGAGGGTAGGAGGAGAGGAGGGAGCGCGGGAAAGGTGGGAAAAGAGGGAGGTTGGAGGGGGCAGGGGTTGGTGTGAATGATGATCAGTAGGCATGTGGGCATGAGAGTGGCTGTGGCCGCACACGAGGCACTTGAAGTAAGCAGCCTTGATGTCTGGGATGATGGAGGAGGTGCGGATGACCATTCCCCTCACCGTCACCAGTGCATCGATGTCTGGTAGGGAGTGATAACGGGCAGGAAGGAGGGTTAGACAAGAGGATGAAGGGAGCGTGAGAAGCGAAAGAGGGGGGGAAGGTGTGATGTGTGGTGTGGTGCTGTGTATGAAGAAGTGCTTTGAGACGTCTCAAAACACTTCTTCATACACGAAAGAGGGGGCGAAGGTGTGAGGTGCGGTGTGGTGTGGTGCTGTAGTGTATTGTGGTATGGTGCGGTCGTCCAGCCCAGCAACAAGGTGGGCACATGGGGGGCACGCACCTGAGGGGTTGAGGTCGCGCATGTGCACCGTGTCCCGGAGGTTGAATGTCCGCACCTGAGCGGGGGGTGAGAGTGAGGGGATGGAGGGAAAGAGGAGAGGAGGTGTAAAGGGGAGAGGTGAAGAGGAGGAACAGAGAGTGGGAGGTCTCGCATGTGCACTGTGTCCCGAAGGTTGCATGTGCGCACCTGAGAGGGGGGGGGAAGCGAGAGAAGTAGAAGTGAGGGAGGCACATTTCTTTTCTTGAACAACGAGATGCGGCTATGGCAGGTGAGTGTGGTGCGTGTGGTGAGTGATCGCTACATTCACTTGCATGTACTTCTCCCACATGGTCAATCTGTCAGCTGCCCAAGAAATCTTTCAGGTGCCCAAGAAGTCTGTCAGCTGCTCAAGAAATCTGTCAGCTGCCCAAGCCGCCCACCTGGATGTGCTTGTCCCACATGGGCATGCGGTCGGCTGCCAGCTCAGCGATCTTGATGTCGAAGATGGGGATGACCTCCAATGGGTAGCGCACTAGCAGGCGGTACAGCTCAGCAGAGAAGGCGTACACGTCAGCACAGTCCACAGGGAAGGTGTCTCCCTCCATCTCCACCAGCTGGGGTGTGAGTGGGTTGTGTGTGCGGGGGGCATGCGAGACAGGCGTGCATGGGGATAGGTAGGTGAATAAGGCGACTTCGAAACATCTCAAAAGTTGTCAGTACAGTCCGGGGGAAACGTGTCCCCCTCCATCCCCACCAGCTGGTGTGAGTGAGTGTTGGAGGGACGGAGGGTTATAAGTAGTTGGAGAGGCGGTAGGCGGATTGGCAGGGTGTTTGGACAGGAATGCGCCGCGGGGGAGAAGGCGTGAACGTCAGCACAGTCCACGGGCGTTTGTCTTCCCCTCACTGCGCACTCACCTCCCTGAGTCAGTCCCCTCAAATCCTCCTCCACCGCCCCCTTCATCCCCGCCACACCCCCCCCCTCTCCCCCTTCCCTTCCTCCTCCCCCCACCGCACCTCATCAAGCTGCTGAGAGTACTTAGCGTGAAGGGCATCATCCGCCTCCCTGAAATACCGCACAAACGATGCACACTCACCAGCCCAATTCCCCTCATTGCTCACTAACATCCCCCTCCCTTCTCCCTCCTCCCCACGTTACACACACCACCCCTCTCCCTCCCACCGCACCTCATCAAGCTGCTGAGGATACTTAACGTGAAGGGTATCATCCGCCTCTCTGAAGTGCTGCACGAGCAATACAAGCGTGCTGGACAGTTCGTCTCCTTTCTCACTCCCTTCCCATCCCAAGACCGCCTCTTTCAATCCCTCCCTTCCCTTCCCACTACAACCCCTCCCCCCCGACCCAAACCGCACCTCATCAAGCTGCTGAGAGTACTTGGCGTGAAGGGCATCATCCGCCTCCCTGAAGTGCCGCACGAACGATGCAAACTTGCTCGACACGTCCTGCACGCTCACCCCCGTGCCCCACACGAACGTCCCCTCCAACTCCTCCTCCTCCTCCTCCTCCTCCTCCCCCTCCCCCGCCCCCTGCCCCTGTCCCCCCATCTCTTGCGCACCCCCACCCAGTCCTGCCTCCCCACGCGACCCTGCCCCTGCTCCTGCCCCTCCCCCTGCCCCTCCCCCTGCCCTTCCCCCAGCTCCTGCGGCTCCTCTTCTCCCCCTCTGCTGCTGCTGCCGGTGGTACTGCTCCCATGACATTCTGTCCTGCTCCGAATTGCCTCCCTGCCAGGGCACGAGCGGAGCAGAGGGGGGAAAGGGAGCATGATTTCTGGGGGAGAAAGAGAGCATGATGCCTGCGGCTCCTCCTCTCCCCCTCTGCTGCTGCTGCTGCGGATGGTACTGCTCTGCTCCCACGACATTCTGTCCTGCTCTGAATTGCCTCGCTGTCAGGGCACGCGCGGAATAGAGGGAGTAAGAAAGCATGAACGCAGAGAAAACTTATTTCTGAGCTGGTCTGAGTCCCCTTGCTGTCGGGGCAAGCCCGGAGCATAGGGAGGAAAGGGGAAAGAAGAGAAGGACGAGGGTGGATAGTGTGATGGGGGTTGGGAGCAGGCCGAGCATGGCCAACAGTACAACCTACCCGGCTCCCTCACCTGAGGGTTCAGGCGGTCTCAGGCAGCTTTGTTGTGCTGAAAAGCGTGGCCACAGATACTTGATGCTTTTCAAGGCATCTCAATCAGAAACCACCTGCCAGGCTATCGGATGGCTCGGGCGGCTCTGGCGTGCTGACAGGCGTGCCTGAAGGCACACCTCCCCCAGATGCCGCCTGCCGTGACAGTGCTTGATTGATGATTTTAAATCCACTTACCAGGCTATCAGATGGCTCAGGGGGCCCTGGCGTGCTGACAGGCGTGCCTGAAGGCACACCTCCCCCAGATGCCGCCTGCCCTGATGCGCCCTGCCTGCGGCGGTGGAACCTGCGGCGCTGCGCCATGGAGCCGCCCAGGTCGCTTCTGGGGAAGGACGGACTGCGGGGAGGGAGGGGGGGAGGAGGGGAGGAGGGTGGGAGGGGAGAGGGGTAAACTGGTTGGAGAACAGTGCACAGTGCACAGTGCATCCCTGCCTGCGGCGCTGCGCCATGGAGCCGCCCAGGTCGCTCCTGGAGAAGGACGGACTGAGCGGGAAGGGGGGGAGGAGGGGGACGGAGAGAGAAGAGGGAAGGGGGGAACCGTAGTGAGGGATGGGGCGCCGCAGAGGGGAGAGGGAGGGTGGGGTTGGGTTAGGAGTGGTGGGGAGAACGGGCGCGCAAAGTGCATACGTGCTCAACGAGCGAATCCCAAGTGAATTCATATCGACTTGCGTGTAATTCGAGCTTCAGGGATCCTGCTGAGAAGTCCTGTTCAATAGAGCGATCCAGCAACGGGGTCCGCCGAAATCATGAAAGCGCGTGTCACATCAAAGTTGGATCCTTTACAAGGAAAACGGCTGCAGAGAAGGACCAACGGCTACCCAGCTGCTTCAGGAGTGCATAAATCTGAAAGTGTAACAGAAGAACCACTAGTTGGCGTAAGCGTAACGCACGTGGATCAGACAGTGCGTTGCTGCGGTGATCGCTTGCTTGCGCTCTTCGGCGGTGGCCTTTGAGTCCACAGTAAAATGACCTGGTAGATTCAAGTAAGCAATGACTAATAGATACTAACGAAACTCACGTGGATCGGATGGTGGGTTGCTGCGAGCTGTACGGGCTGCCGGCGCTCGCGCGTGGCGTGAAGTTCAGCTGAGGCGAGCTCGATCGCCCCGAGTCCCGCGGAGTTAGAGGAGTCTGCTCCGGCGTTTGCATTGACCCCTGCGGGGTTTGCCCTGGCGTGCGCATCGACCCTTGCGGGGTCTGTGCGGAAACGCCATCGCTGCGTGCATGGGGATTTCCGTCTGATGACATTTTTACCGAATGGCTAGTAATATGCTAAATCGCACTGATTAGCAAGACACTACGGACGTCCGAAAAGTAGGGACGTCGAGAAGGCAATGTTGAGTGAAAAGCAGCTCTGGAATCTAGATTTTGGAACCGTGTCGGGGTAGCAGTCCGGATTGTGTCAGAGGTTTCCTCGTTGTAGGTGAATCCCGATAACGACCTAGAATTATATTTTTTATTGCTACATGTGCTGGTTGACTCCCTTGGATGTACACATTGTAATACGATAAAACCGGAGGAAACTTAGTCCCACTCTAGAAATATATTGTTTATAGCCCCATTCGAGAAAAAAAATAGGTATTTCTAATTTCTGGAAAATAATTACACGATAAAAAAGAGGCTGTAGAAGAATCCTGCACAACGAATAATTGCACGATAAAAAAGAGGCTGTAGAGGAATCCTGCACTCTAAACTAACTCACATTCCAACATTCAGTATGGTTTGTACTTGCAGCGGGTACAGATAGTTCATCAAACCTGTCTCGTCTCAGCGCTCCGCATCCCGTCCGCCACACCTGCTCCACTCCCGACTCCGCCCACCGCACAGCCCTCCGCCACCGCCTGCGCTCTTTCCGCACCCTCAACACGCCGGCGCGCAACAGTAGCGTCAAAAGCCTCTAATTCTTTCTTACATCGCGTCAGCGCAAGGGAAGAGTAAAGGATTCTTTTCGATTTGCAGCCATGTCCGCTCCGGAGAAGCCGCTAGTGTCGGAGGAGGAGATGGCGAACGCGCGGCTGAGCCTGGGCGCGCGCGATCTGTGCGCGCATCTGCTGATTCCGCTGAACCGGTGCCGCACGGAAACGATGTTCGCGCCGTGGAAGTGCAGCGACGAGCGGCACTCGTACGAAAAGTGCGAATACGAGCTGTTCCTACGGCGGATGAAGAAGATGGAGGCCTTCCGCGAAGCAACGCAATGACTACGTCATAGTCGCACGCGGGTGAGGAGAAAAGTGGTCAAGGGTCGGTAACGGGTTGTGGCGCTTCAGACGGTGGTGGTCATATGACAGGTCGTTGCATTTCAGCGGCAAGCGCGTTTGTTCGGCAGCTCGATTTGAAATGCTTGTGGCCAAAGGCGTTTCGAGGAGCCACAATCGAAGTGGTTTCCTCTTAGAGCGGAGAGCGCCGTCACTGACAACCGGAGAGTTGACCTAAACTAGTATGGTTCGTGTCCTGTGGTTCATTTCCAGCCTAAAAGCCATGCAGTGGTTACACACGTAGTGGAATGAGACGAGTTCTGAGGCGCCTCAATAGTACTACGAGTTTTGAGGCGCCTCAAAACGTGTCCTGTGGTTCCCCGTCAGCCTAAAAACCATGTGGTGGGTACACGCGTACTGGGTATCATCCTGAGATGTTGTGAGGTGTTATTGCCATGAATCCATTGGCCTAGTGCTAGTACGGGCTATCATTCTCTAACCCCAGTGTTCTTATGTGTGCTCGGTGCGCTTCGCACATGATTCGACCATGGGTTTGAGAACCAGCTTCAAGAGTCAATGCCTTTGTCATCAGTTTAATTTACCATCGCTGGCTCCGTGGTTCGTGGTATTTGAGTCACTTTCTTTGGCTGCCACTTGTTCTAGACATTTGTCCATTTGACAATCTTCTTACTGTCTGCTCCTATCTTTTGCATGTCTTGTCTTCCCTGCTCAATTTGTTTTTGTACCACGTCAGGTATTTGCTCCAGATTTCAGGTCAAGGGCATACATACAGGACGAGTGTAAGCTCTGATACAGCCCTAAGTCCGGAATGTAACTTTGTTGTAGTGACAGTCAATTCTAGTGCATTCATGACAGGATGGCAAGGTGTACCACACCTGTGCATGCTTTCTTGTATCCAAATTATTCATCATGCTAGCAGTGTGGTATCCTAGCTACTGAACATAAATTTTAGGGATTGTTAACCACATTGTTTGCATGAAAGTTCAACCATAAATTGTTTGCACAAAAGTTAGCACGATAATTTTAATCATATATATCATTATGTAGCCATTTATGTCTCTTGCCGACATTGCTTGCACCAGTGAATTCCTCACGTCATAGCATCCAGCACAAGTAGTATCACAAACCCCTAGACCTTCATTTAGGGTTAGTGTCTAGTCTCCTATCCCTGCTTCAAATACCCTTCTTCAAGTAGTATCCCTGCTTCACCGCCGCCTGATCCCCTGGTTGACAGCCTCGAATCGACCGGCGGAAAAACCGCTCGGGGTTCGGAAATTCATCGTGTTTTGAGGAATTAGCATCGCTTGCTGGTGTTCGAATCGCACCGTGTTACACTGGACCGGCATTCCGTGGTACTGGTGACCGTGAAGCAGTCTTAGTATCTCACGGGCGCTCGTTGATGCGACCATGAACAAGTCTGTTCGACATGAGGTGCGCATGAATTAATCGATTCGTAGACGATTCTTTTTCTCCACAGCCCGCTTTTGGCTTCTCGCTTTCGAACGCCAAAGATAGCTGGGAGATTTCATTCTTAAAGGCAAATGTCGGCACGGTCGAAGCGCTTGAGCCTCGCTTAGGGTAATCCACGGTCTTCCATGGCTCTTCCGTTCCTCGATGCCAGCTTTCCATCTGCATTCTTTGGCAAAAGAAACAGGCTTTAGCCTTTTCCCGCGTCACGTTTGCCGCCTCGCGTTGTTGACTTCAGCCAATTCAAACGCCATCATTTCGCAAAAGAGCCAGGGTCTAGCTGCCACGCGTCTTCCGTAAGAAAACTCAAATGCGTTTGCACTAGTTATCCTCACCTGCATGGGAAAGCATGACACGCCTCAACACTCAGTTGCCTTCGCCTGCACAGCACAATGTCGGCTGTTTCGAGACCCCGGTCGCGTCACGACAATCTCACTCACTATCACGGCCGCGGGTTCGGTTTCTTCAAGGCGGACGACGTGTGCGCGACCATCTCCCATTCCCCCGCACATATTCTCCCCTCCCCTCTATCCCCCGGCAACCCCCCTCCTGCTCCACCCTTCTCCCCCTTTCCCCCAGCTACCCCCCCCCCCCCCTCCCTTCCTCCTCCCCCCCCTCCAAGCAGGCGGTGAGTCGCGTGATAGAGGGTGCGGGGTGCGTCTCCACGGCGGGCGAGGTGCGCGCCATCAGCCCCCGTTCATGCGCACCCATCCCCTCTTTCCCCCTCCCCCTTCCCATCCTCCCCAATCCCACAGGTGGTGAGCCGAGTGATAGAGGGCGTGGGGTTCGGATTCTACACGGCGGACGAGGTGCGCGCCATTAGCGTCAGGCGCATCACCAATCCGCTGCTCTTCGATGGGCTGCGCAGCCCTGCTGCTGGCGGCCTCTACGACCCTGCACTCGGCCCCGTTGATAAATCTGATGTGTGAGTCCTTTTGTTGGGGTTTAAAGTAGGAGCACCCTCATCAGCGTGAGGCGCATCACCAATCCGTTGCTCTTCAACGGGCTGCGCTGCCCCGCCGCAGGGGGGCTCTATGACTTCGCACTCGGCCCCGTCGATAAGTCTGATGTGGAAGCACTCTTCAGGGGTTTAGGGGGTTTGTGAGGGAGGTTGGGTCTAGGGGGGGAGGGGAGAATATGGAGGTGCGCGCCATCAGCGTGAGGCGCATCACCAATCCGCTGCACTTCTATTTGCAGGGGTTTATGAGGGTTTATGAGGGGCCTCCACAGCGGATCGCCAACCGCTGCAGGGGTCTTTATGACCCCGCCCTCGGTCCTGTTGATAAATCTGACGTGTGATTTCTCTGTAACGAGTTTTGGGAGGGGCCGCTTTGAACCTCTTGGTAAATCTCATGTGTATGTGACAAAAAATATCGACAAATGTTACACGCCCTAAACCCCAATTGTTAAACCCTACACCCGCACCCCCCTTGCAGCTGCGTCACATGCCAGCTGGGGTACTTCCATTGCCCGGGGCATTTCGGCCACCTGGAGTTGGCACTGCCAGAGTACCACCCGCTGCTCTTCCCCCTCCCCTGGGTTCTTCACGTTAAACCCTCTCTTAAACCCAACACCCGCACCCCCCTTGCAGCTGCGTCACATGCCAGCTGGGGTACTTCCATTGCCCGGGGCACTTCGGCCATCTGGAGCTGGCACTGCCCGTGTACCACCCGCTGCTCTTCTCCCTGCTCGTGAAGCTGCTGCGCTGTGTGTGCCTGCGCTGCCACCATCTGAAGCTGCTCTCCGCCGTGGTACGTACTCCTCGTCAAAACCTCTAACTTTGGCCTAGCCCTGCAAGCCTGAATGTGCACCATCCGACCCGCTGCCTTTCTCCCTGCTCGTGAAGCTGCTGCGCCGCGTGTGCCTGCGCTGCCATCATCTGAAGCTGCTCTCCGCTGTGGTATGCATTCCCCTTTGCAACCTCGGGCTTGTTAGGGTTAAGCTAGGCCCCATGCCCGTGTACCACCTGCTGTGCTTTGGCCTTCTCGTGAAGCTGCTGCGCTGCGCTGCGTGTGCCTGCCACCACCTCAAGATTCTTTCTGCCATGGTAAGCATTTTCCTTCACAGCTGCAAGTGTTTGGGTTAGGTTTGGGTAAAGCTAGCCCTGGTGCCTGCCTCTCTACCATCTGCCCTGGGAGGTAGACGGGGGGTAGCCAGCCGGAGCTCGCCCTGCCTGTCCTGCCTATCACCCGACCTGTTGCTCTTCCCTCTCCTCGCGAATCTGCTGCGCTGCACCGCATGACCTCGAACCCAACCCCACCCCACCCCACCCCACCCCACCCCACCCCGCTCGCCCACTCACCCCCCTTGTGTGCAGTCGAAGCTGTATGCGCTGCGGCCTAGCAATCATGCCCCCAAGCGCACGCATGCAAGGAGGGGTTCGTCCTCTTCATGCAAGGAGGGGTTCGTCCTCTTCTGGCGCTCATCTCTCAGGGGCGGCTGAGGGAGGCTCAGGAGCTGAGCTGGGGCAGAAAGTGCCCCCCGAGGCCAAGCATATCAACTGAATCTTCCGCCCCAAACCTTCTACCCTGAACCCCAATCCCCCTCCACACCCACCCCATGTCTGCAGTCGAAGCTGTATGCGCTGCGGCTGGCGCTGATTTCCCAGGGGCGGCTGAGGGAGGCGCAGGAGCTGGGACAGAAAATGCCGCCCAAGGCCAAGCGTCGAGGCTGGGGCAAGGGGAATGGGAAAGGAAAGGGAGAAGAGGGGATGGGAGGAGGAAAAGGAGGAGCAAAGGCTGTATATGTGTCTGGGCCAGCAGGGGCAGTAGATGATGATGAGGATGAGGAGGAGGAAGAGGAGGAGGGGGAGGATGGGGAGAAAGGAGCACAGGAGATGGATATTGATGGGTCTTGGAAAGCAGAGGCTGAGAAAGCTGCTGCTGCAGCGGAGGCTGCGGGGGGAGACGAGTGGGGGGATGTGCTGGAGGGGGAAGGGGGAGGGGGAGGGGGAGAGGAGAGGTGGTCGTGGGCAGCAGAGGTGGCGGCGAGGGAGGTGGTGCGGGAGCTGTGGAGTGTGGTGCCGGCCTCCAAGTGCCAGAACTGCTTTGCCAACAACCCCAGCGTCAAGCGGGAGGGCCACAGCAAGATTTTCAGAGTATGTCTGGCTGTCTGTCTGGCATCGGAGGTTTGGATTCAGGCTTTGGAAAAGCTTTGGGGTTGAAGGGTTTTCAAGGTGAAGGCTTGTGGGGTTTACGATTTCAAGGTCTACGGTTTTATGGTGCACGTGTCCTAACACCCTCCTCCCTCCTACCTACCGCCACCCGCACCACATTCCCTGCTTTGAGTTTTTTAGAGGCCGTTGTGGGCGAAGCAGCAGCAGCAGAACGACTTGCAGTTTGTCATCTTTCCGCTACCACCCATTTCCACCTCCCCACTCTTCCAGAAACCTCTGGCATTGAAGCCACAGCACCAGAACGACCTGAACGGATTCACCTTCCCAGACGTGCTGGCAGAGCTGGCAGAAGCCGCTGCTTCTGGCAACGACCCCGCCGACATCAACATCGGGCCGGACGGCGAACTCCGGAGCTACACCGTGGACGGCAACGGAAGCGGAGAGAAACGCATGCTGCTGAGGGACGACGATGACAGCGACGACGATGAGATGCTGGCTGCTGCAGCAGCAGCGAAGCGGAAGCGGGGGGCGGGAGGAAGAGGAGTGGGAGGAGAGGCGGGGACTAGGCGGCCGTTTCTGATGAATGTGGCTGAGGTGGAGGAGCATCTGCGGCGCCTGTGGATCCGTGAACCCGCCATTTGCAATGCACTCTTCGGCTCCCACTCCTCCACCCACTCCCACGCCCACTCCGCTGCTGGTCTCTCGCCGTACCATCACAAGCGGTACTACTATCAGCAGCAGCAGGGCGTGGGGCAGCAGCATGGGGGCGGTGGTGGTGGTGGGGGCGGTGCTCCGACGTGGCCGTCTGCGTTCTTCCTGCGCTGCCTGCTCGTGCCGCCCAACAAGTTCCGCCCCCCCAACATTATGAACGATATGGTGGGCTGCTTGTAGTGTGTATGGGGCCTGCTTGTATGGGGCTGAATGTGCATGGTGCTGGGTGCAATGGGGCTGACTACTGTCTTCCTGCGCTGCCTGCTCGTGCCGCCCAACAAGTTCCGCTCCGCCCCCCCAACCTGATGAATGACATGGTGGGCTGGCTGGGGCTGAATGCTTGGGTCTTCTTGTATGGGGGACGAAGTGTATGGGGAGGATATGTCATCGTGTCACGTAGCTCCTCTCTCAATTGCCGCCCAACAAGTTCCGCCCCCCCAACCTGATGAACGACATGGTGGGTGGGCTGGCTGGGGCTGAATGCTTGCATTGGGGGCCTGGATGGTTGCTGGGGCCGTGCTTGTATGGGCTGGGCCGCTGGGTGCATGCTGGGCTGCTTGCCTGCTTGTGCCGCCCAACAAGTTCCACCCCCCCAACCTGATGAACGACATGGTGGGCTGGCTGCTTGCTTGCATGAGGCTTGCTTCTATGGGGCTGAATGTGCCTGGGGCTCAAGGTTCAAAAATACGGTTTTCGTACAAAACGGTCTGTTTTTTACGGTCCGTTTTTTACGGTAATTTTCCTAAAAAACGGCGTTTTTTTTTATAGAGTACTGTTGTCACCAACAAAAAAAGGGAAAAACAAGGTCGAGTACATTTTCAATCATGCCCCCAAGCGCACGCATGCAAGGAGGGGTTCGTCCTCTTCATGCAAGGAGGGGTTCGTCCTCTTCATGCAAGGAGGGGTTCGTCCTCTTCATGCAAGGAGGGGTTCGTCCTCTTCATGCAAGGAGGGGTTCGTCCTCTTCATGCAAGGAGGGGTTCGTCCTCTTCATGCAAGGAGGGGTTCGTCCTCTTCATGCAAGGAGGGGTTCGTCCTCTTCATGCAAGGAGGGGTTCGTCCTCTTCATCCTGGTACCCTTCGCCATCAATTTGGTCCCTCTCTCCAGAAATTGGCCGATCTTTTCTTCAAACGAAACCACCGTCTGGAACCTTTTTAACCGTTTTTTACGGTCGTTTTTTACGGCCGTTTTTTACGGAAAATTATTATTAAAAAAAAAAAAAAAAAAAAAAAACGACGTTTTTTTTAACCTTGCTGGGGCTGAATGTGCCTGGGGCTGAATGTGCCTGGGGCTGAATATTATCTTCCTGCGCTGCCTGCTTGTGCCGTCCAACAAGTTCCGCCCCCCCAACATGATGAACGACATGGTGGGCTGGCTGGGGCTGCTTGCTTGCCAGGGCCTGCTTGTACTGGAGTTGCTTGTATGGGGGACGTAGTGTATGGGGATGACTGTCTCATTGTGCTGCATAGCCCCTCTCTCAAACCGCCGCCCAACAAGTTCCGCCCCCCCCCCAACCTGATGAACGATATGGAGGGCTGGTTCATGCTGGGCTGGGCTGGTTGCTGGGGCCTGCTTGCATGGGACTGCTTGCGTGGGGCTTGTCGCATGGTGTATACACCTTTCCGAACTTAGAACACCGAACTTCTTCCCACTCCCCCCCTCTCTCTCTCCCCCTCCCCCACTCTCAGCTGCTGGAGCACGCGCAGAACGTCTTCCTCACGAAAATCCTCGAGGCCAACCTCTTCATCACCCAGATCGGCCGAGAGGCCGCCGCCACTGCTGCCGCCGCTGCCGCCGGTAACGCTGCTACAAGTGCAGGCTCTGCCGGTGCTGGTACTGGTGCTGAGGGTGAGGGGGGCGGTCAGCAGCTGGCGAAGCTGGTGTATACGGCGGGGGTGGATGGCGGAGGGGGAGCGGCGGCGGAGGGGGCGGAGATCGGCGCGACGGAAGTGAGGAAGGCTGCGATCGCGTGGCTGCAGCTGCAGCACCACGTGAACTGCTTCCTGGATAGCAGCCTGAGTGAGTGAATGCAGGGGCATAAGCAGGCTCGGTGAGTGGATGGAAAGGAAGGTGTCACTTAGCCTCATATGGTGTCAGGTGGTGTCACATGGTGTGTCACATGGTGTGTCACATGGTGTCACACGAACCTTCCACCCCTCCCACCTTTTGCTTTTTCTCCTCACATACGTGCAGGCTCGCAGAAGGACCCGGCAAACGGCATACGGCAGCAGCTGGAGAGGAAGGAAGGAGGGGCTGTGCTGTCTGCTGCCATTTACGCAGGTCCTTCCTCCCCTGTGCCCCTTCCAAACCCATCCAACCCCATTCAACTCCCGACCCCCCGTTTCCCCACCAACGCCTGTGCAGGCTCACAGAAGGACCCGGTGAACGGCATACGGCAGCAGCTGGAGAGGAAGGAGGGGCTGTTTCGAATGAACATGATGGGCAAGCGTGTCAATTACGCCTGCCGCTCTGTCATCTCGCCCGACCCTTACATCCAGGTCTGTCTGTGGGGTGTGTTTGCTATGTTTGGCATGCTTGCCATTTTTGGCATGCCAGGCCACCCTCTGAATGAACATGATGGGCGAGCGTGTCAACTACGCCTGCCGCTCTGTCATTTCACCTGACCCCTACATCCAGGTTGGGAATTTGGCATTTTAGGCTCCGTGCATCTACACCCAGTGGGCTAGTTTGTCCTTTCAGCCCCCAAATATCTATCCAGTGGGGTTGGCGCCAGCCACCACCCTGCCTGCCTTGTCACCACCAACCTCCCCCCCTTTCCTGGCATTGCCCTCTACCAAAAATCATTATTCTGCTTCGCAATGCCCGTCCGTCCCCCACACTCTTTGCCCGAATCAAATCAAATCAAATCAGGTGAACGAGATCGGAGTGCCGCCCGTTTTTGCCAAGCGACTCACGTACGCTGAGGTAAGCATGTGCTTGTGAAAGAGAGAGATGCTCAGGTAGTGAAACAGAGAGATGCTCAGGTAGTGAAAGAGAGAGATGCTCAGGAAGTGAAACAGAGAGATGCTCAGGTAGTGAAAGAGAGAGATGCTCAGGTAGTGAAACAGAGAGATGCTCAGGTAGTGAAACAGAGAGATGCTCAGGTAGTGAAACAGAGAGATGCTCAGGTAGTGAAACAGAGAGATGCTCAGGTAGTGAAAGAGAGAGATGCTCAGGTAGTGAAACAGAGAGATGCTCAGGTAGTGAAACAGAGAGATGCTCAGGTAGTGAAACAGAGAGATGCTCAGGTAGTGTAAGAGAGAGATGCTCAGGGAGTGAAACAGAGAGATGCTCAGGTAGTGAAACAGAGAGATGCTCAGGTAGTGAAAGAGAGAGATGCTCAGGTAGTGAAACAGAGAGATGCTCAGGTAGTGAAAGAGAGAGATGCTCAGGTAGTGAAACAGAGAGATGCTCAGGTAGTGAAAGAGAGAGATGCTCAGGTAGTGAAACAGAGAGATGCTCAGGTAGTGAAACAGAGAGATGCTCAGGTAGTGAAACAGAGAGATGCTCAGGTAGTGAAACAGAGAGATGCTCAGGTAGTGAAAGAGAGAGATGCTCAGGTAGTGAAACAGAGAGATGCTCAGGTAGTGAAACAGAGAGATGCTCATGTAGTGAAAGAGAGAGATGCTCAGGTAGTGAAAGAGAGAGATGCTCAGGTAGTGAAACAGAGAGATGCTCAGGTAGTGAAACAGAGAGATGCTCAGGTAGTGAAACAGAGAGATGCTCAGGTAGTGAAACAGAGAGATGCTCAGGTAGTGAAAGAGAGAGATGCTCAGGTAGTGAAACAGAGAGATGCTCAGGTAGTGAAACAGAGAGATGCTCAGGTAGTGAAAGAGAGAGATGCTCAGGTAGTGAAACAGAGAGATGCTCCGGTTGTGAAACAGAGAGATGCTCAGGTAGATGCTCAGGTAGTGAAACAGAGAGATGCTCAGGTAGTGAAACAGAGAGATGCTCAGGTAGTGAAACAGAGAGATGCTCAGGTAGTGAAACAGAGAGATGCTCAGGTAGTGAAACAGAGAGATGCTCAGGTAGTGAAAGAGAGAGATGCTCAGGTAGTGAAAGAGAGAGATGCTCAGGTAGTGAAACAGAGAGATGCTCAGGTAGTGAAAGAGAGAGATGCTCAGGTAGTGAAAGAGAGAGATGCTCAGGTAGTGAAACAGAGAGATGCTCAGGTAGTGAAAGAGAGAGATGCTCAGGTAGTGAAACAGAGAGATGCTCAGGTAGTGAAAGAGAGAGATGCTCAGGTAGTGAAAGAGAGAGATGCTCAGGTAGTGAAAGAGAGAGATGCTCCGGTAGTGAAACAGAGAGATGCTCAGGTAGTGAAACAGAGAGATGCTCAGGTAGTGAAACAGAGAGATGCTCAGGTAGTGAAACAGAGAGATGCTCAGGTAGTGAAACAGAGAGATGCTCAGGTAGTGAAACAGAGAGATGCTCAGGTAGTGAAACAGGGAGATGCTCAGGTAGTGAAAGAGAGAGATGCTCAGGTAGTGAAACAGAGAGATGCTCAGGTAGTGAAACAGAGAGATGCTCAGGTAGTGAAAGAGAGAGATGCTCAGGTAGTGAAAGAGAGAGATGCTCCAGTTGTGAAACAGAGAGATGCTCAGGTAGTGAAACAGAGAGATGCTCAGGTAGTGAAACAGAGAGATGCTCAGGTAGTGAAAGAGAGAGATGCCCAGGTAGTGAAACAGAGAGATGCTCAGGTAGTGAAACAGAGAGATGCTCAGGTAGTGAAACGGAGAGATGCTCAGGTAGTGAAAGAGAGAGATGCTCAGGTAGTGAAACAGAGAGATGCTCAGGTAGTGAAACAGAGAGATGCTCAGGTAGTGAAACAGAGAGATGCTCAGGTAGTGAAACAGAGAGATGCTCAGGTAGTGAAACAGAGATTCTCAGGTAGTGGCACAGAGAGATGCTCAGGTAGTGAAACAGAGAGATGCTCAGGTAGTGAAAGAGAGAGATGCTCAGGTAGTGAAAGAGAGAGATGCTCAGGTAGTGAAACAGAGAGATGCTCAGGTAGTGAAACAGAGAGATGCTCAGGTAGTGAAACAGAGAGATGCTCAGGTAGTGAAACAGAGAGATGCTCAGGTAGTGAAACAGAGAGATGCTCAGGTAGTGAAACAGAGAGATGCTCAGGTAGTGAAACAGAGAGATGCTCAGGTAGTGAAACAGAGAGATGCTCAGGTAGTGAAACTGAGAGATGCTCCGGTAGTGAAACAGAGAGATGCTCAGGTAGTGAACAGAGAGATGCTCAGGTAGTGAAACAGAGAGATGCTCAGGTAGTGAAACAGAGAGATGCTCAGGTAGTGAAAGAGAGAGATGCTCAGGTAGTGAAAGAGAGAGATGCTCAGGTAGTGAAACAGAGAGATGCTCAGGTAGTGAAAGAGAGAGATGCTCAGGTAGTGAAAGAGAGAGATGCTCAGGTAGTGAAACAGAGAGATGCTCAGGTAGTGAAAGAGAGAGATGCTCAGGTAGTGAAACAGAGAGATGCTCAGGTAGTGAAACAGAGAGATGCTCAGGTAGTGAAAGAGAGAGATGCTCAGGTAGTGAAACAGAGAGATGCTCCGGTTGTGAAACAGAGATATGCTCAGGTAGTGAAACAGAGAGATGCTCAGGTAGTGAAACAGAGAGATGCTCAGGTAGTGAAAGAGAGAGATGCTCAGGTAGTGAAAGAGAGAGATGCTCAGGTAGTGAAACAGAGAGATGCTCAGGTAGTGAAAGAGAGAGATGCTCAGGTAGTGAAAGAGAGAGATGCTCAGGTAGTGAAACAGAGAGATGCTCAGGTAGTGAAAGAGAGATATGCTCAGGTAGTGAAACAGAGAGATGCTCAGGTAGTGAGACAGAGAGATGCTCAGGTAGTGAAAGAGAGAGATGCTCAGGTAGTGAAACAGAGAGATGCTCCGGTTGTGAAACAGAGAGATGCTCAGGTAGTGAAACAGAGAGATGCTCAGGTATTGAAACAGAGAGATGCTCACGTAGTGAAACAGAGAGATGCTCAGGTAGTGAAACAGAGAGATGCTCAGGTGGTGAAACAGAGAGATGCTCAGGTAGTGAAACAGAGAGATGCTCAGGTAGTGAAACAGAGAGATGCTCGGGTAGTGAAACAGAGAGATGCTCAGGTAGTGAAACAGAGAGATGCTCAGGTGGTGAAACAGAGAGATGCTCAGGTGGTGAAACAGAGAGATGCTCAGGTAGTGAAACAGAGAGATGCTCAGGTAGTGAAACAGAGAGATGCTCAGGTAGTGAAAGAGAGAGATGCTCAGGTAGTGAAACAGAGAGATGCTCAGGTAGTGAAACAGAGAGATGCTCAGGTAGTGAAACAGAGAGATGCTCAGGTAGTGAAAGAGAGAGATGCTCAGGTAGTGAAAGAGAGAGATGCTCAGGTAGTGAAACAGAGAGATGCTCAGGTAGTGAAACAGAGAGATGCTCAGGTAGTGAAAGAGAGAGATGCTCAGGTAGTGAAACAGAGAGATGCTCCGGTTGTGAAACAGAGATATGCTCAGGTAGTGAAACAGAGAGATGCTCAGGTAGTGAAACAGAGAGATGCTCAGGTAGTGAAAGAGAGAGATGCTCAGGTAGTGAAAGAGAGAGATGCTCAGGTAGTGAAACAGAGAGATGCTCAGGTAGTGAAACAGAGAGATGCTCAGGTAGTGAAAGAGAGAGATGCTCAGGTAGTGAAACAGAGAGATGCTCAGGTAGTGAAAGAGAGATATGCTCAGGTAGTGAAACAGAGAGATGCTCAGGTAGTGAGACAGAGAGATGCTCAGGTAGTGAAAGAGAGAGATGCTCAGGTAGTGAAACAGAGAGATGCTCCGGTTGTGAAACAGAGAGATGCTCAGGTAGTGAAACAGAGAGATGCTCAGGTAGTGAAACAGAGAGATGCTCACGTAGTGAAACAGAGAGATGCTCAGGTAGTGAAACAGAGAGATGCTCAGGTGGTGAAACAGAGAGATGCTCAGGTAGTGAAACAGAGAGATGCTCAGGTAGTGAAACAGAGAGATGCTCGGGTAGTGAAACAGAGAGATGCTCAGGTAGTGAAACAGAGAGATGCTCAGGTGGTGAAACAGAGAGATGCTCAGGTGGTGAAACAGAGAGATGCTCAGGTAGTGAAAGAGAGAGATGCTCAGGTAGTGAAACAGAGAGATGCTCAGGTAGTGAAAGAGAGAGATGCTCAGGTAGTGAAACAGAGAGATGCTCAGGTAGTGAAACAGAGAGATGCTCAGGTAGTGAAACAGAGAGATGCTCAGGTAGTGAAACAGAGAGATGCTCAGGTAGTGAAACAGAGAGATGCTCAGGTAGTGAAACAGAGAGATGCTCAGGTAGTGAAAGAGAGAGATGCTCAGGTAGTGAAAGAGAGAGATGCTCAGGTAGTGAAACAGAGAGATGCTCAGGTAGTGAAAGAGAGAGATGCTCAGGTAGTGAAAGAGAGAGATGCTCAGGTAGTGAAACAGAGAGATGCTCAGGTAGTGAAAGAGAGAGATGCTCAGGTAGTGAAACAGAGAGATGCTCAGGTAGTGAAACAGAGAGATGCTCAGGTAGTGAAAGAGAGAGATGCTCAGGTAGTGAAAGAGAGAGATGCTCCGGTAGTGAAACAGAGAGATTCTCAGGTAGTGAAACAGAGAGATGCTCAGGTAGTGAAACAGAGAGATGCTCAGGTAGTGAAACAGAGAGATGCTCAGGTAGTGAAACAGAGAGATGCTCAGGTAGTGAAACAGAGAGATGCTCAGGTAGTGAAACAGAGAGATGCTCAGGTAGTGAAAGAGAGAGATGCTCAGGTAGTGAAACAGAGAGATGCTCAGGTAGTGAAACAGAGAGATGCTCAGGTAGTGAAACAGAGAGATGCTCAGGTAGTGAAACAGAGAGATGCTCCAGTTGTGAAACAGAGAGATGCTCCAGTTGTGAAACAGAGAGATGCTCAGGTAGTGAAACAG